ACAATCCCTATACAACAACCAAACAATCACCATACAACCCTTACACAATCCCTATACACCAACCAAACAATCACCATACAACCCTTACACAATCCCTATACAACAACCAAACAATCACCATACAACCCTTACACAATCCCTATACAACAACCAAACAATCACCATACAACCCTTACACAATCCCTATACAACAACCAAACAATCACCATACAACCCTTACACAATCCCTATACAACAACCAAACAATCACCATACAACCCTAACACAATCCCTATACAACAACTACACAATCGTATTTCAGCACCTTAAACAATCACCATACAACCCTTACACAATCCCTATACAACAACCAAACAATCACTATACAACCCTTACACAATCCCTATACAACAACCAAACAATCACCATACAACCCTTACACAATCCCTATACAACAACCAAACAATCACCATACAACCCTTACACAATCCCTATACAACAACCAAACAATCACCATACAACCCTTACACAATCCCTATACAAACAACCAAACAATCACCATACAACCCTAACACAATCCCTATACAACAACTACACAATCGTATTTCAGCACCTTAAACAATCACCATACAACCCTTACACAATCCCTATACAACAACCAAACAATCACTATACAACCCTTACACAATCCCTATACAACAACCAAACAATCACCATACAACCCTTACACAATCCCTATACAACAACCAAACAATCACCATACAACCCTTACACAATCCCTATACAACAACCAAACAATCACCATACAACCCTTACACAATCCCTATACAACAACCAAACAATCACCATACAACCCTAACACAATCCCTATACAACAACTACACAATCGTATTTCAGCACCTTAAACAATCACCATACAACCACAGCTGACTATTTTTCCTCAATTTTTATTAATGTTATTTATAAAGCATTTGTGCCTAAAGCTTGATGACAATTATGTCACGTTTGAATGCAAAATTGTTTATACTTCATACTTGTTTCTTTCCTCTGTATAAAAAATTGCTTATTCTTGATAAATTTACATTGTGTGCCTTGGCTTAGTAATGTATTTATCATTATATGTACATGCTCAAAAATATTTTTTTTTAAAGAAGGACTGTGTTGTGCATGTGCATGTTTTCATATTTATTATAAAGAAAAATTAGATTATTGTTGTGCTTGTTGGGTTGTATCTTTTAAATTTGATTTGCTTTACATATTCTGAAAATATCATTTACACACTGTATAATTTTTTTTAAACTAAATGTGTTTCTAATGTTTTAAATTGCTTAAATAAATACATGATATATACAATTTATGTAACTGGCTTGAGCTGTTTTATATTTTTCTAAGTACAAGCATTAAAAAAATTAAAGTTGAATTGTGCTTTCTTTTAATTATTTTGTGAAACATCCAGACACAACAGTTAAAGATGGATGTAAGTGAGCATGTTGTGGTTGAGTAATAAATTACTTTACAAAAACTGTGACTTTAGTGCGCTGTATTTTCGAGAATTTCTCAGTAATTATTTATCTTGGAAACGTGATTTTTTTTTCACATGACATTATTTACGTTGGCGATCATGCCTCTTCACAATCCGCAATCTCCTGCAGCATGTATCAGTTCATGTGCTGACACACCTCCATGCCATGCAACAAGAGTGTCAAGAATCTCCTATTGTTGTCTTCCTCTATCCCTCTTTCCACAGTTCTCTCCAGTGGTCACAACATGTTCCATTTTCACTCTTCTCATAACATGGCCGAAAAATGACGACTGTCTCTTTCTGATGTCTGTCGGGCTTCTGCCTCTTTCAAAACCTCTTGGTTGCTCTTTTTGGCTATCCAAGGTATTTTAAGCATTGTTCTGTAAAACCACATCCCTGAGGCCTCAAGAAATTGTTTGGCCTGCCTATCAATTGTCCAGGACTCACAGCCATATGTTAAAACTGGATGTATGTAGCAAGCAAGAATTTTTTTTTTAAAGGGATACATCGTGACATTTCTAGCATCCCATACCATATGTCTGTAGTGTCCTAAGACTACTGTTTCATATGGATATCTTTTATGGCTGTAGTTAAAGTGTTTAGAAAGTTTGTCCTGCATATGTCAGTCATTACCAGCTAACACCATAGTTAAATATATATGTATTTTCTTTTATTGCCTATCATCATAATCTTGTAGCAGGTCCTTTGCAGAATGTCGCTCTCATCGCGGTCTGCCTGAAAGAAACTCGGTCTCTCCCGCCTCATTTCATACTCAAGGAGTCACTTATATCCTGTGCCCATCTTCGTGTTAATTGGCCCCTGCCCCTCCTTTTGCTTGTATGTCTTTCTATAATCTGTTTTAAAACCAAAAATTATAATTTTGTTTCGGGTGGGAGGAAAGGAGGGGCAGAGTTCTGACTTTTGTCTCCACCTTCCCATACCCATTATCCTGATTTGTGTACGTTTATTCTTGCTCCACTTCCCTGTCTAAAATGGGTGAAGGTGTGGAGAATTTGTTAGATGGATGTCCCTGTTGAGGGGAAGAAGACAGTGTCAATTACATAAGCAGTAACCTTTCTCTTTCCTGGCTTCTTTATAAATGAACTCTTTATGCTTGTATTTCATCCAGCTGATTCAAGTAATGGTTCCAGTGTCAGTACAGAGTAGTGGTGACAGTTGACAGGTTTGTCTTGTTACAGACCTGCTAAGCCTGAAGTTAGCTGTCAGGGAATGATTTACCAACACTTGGCTTGCAAGATTTTTATACAGAATCTGGTTATACAAAAGTTAGTCTTCCCCCAAAAAGCAGGTCACATTCCATTCATAAGTTTTTTGGGCTCACAATGAGATTAATCTCATAAACCTTCCAGCAGGTTACGGGTGTGCCGCTGTTTGCTTTCTGGGTCAGTTTTTTGGGCTGGTCTACCTTCCTGGAGGTTACGGGTGTGCCGCTCTGTTTGCTTTCTGAGTCATCACTATCATCTCCACTGAAACTACACTCATTACTTTGTCAGTAGACAAATTCTTTAGCACAGTAGGGGATGCAGTAAAGTTATTGAAGCTAAGCAAATATGTTCTTATTATCACTATTGTCACAAGAAGTTGCAGCTGTGCTCTATTTCTTATCTTTTGTTTTGACTGATGATACAAGAGAGATCACCCGCTCCATAATAACATTTCTAACTGGAGCTATTAAACAAGCCAGAGCAGCAAAGGTTGCAAGCTCTTTAGATTCTTTTCTGTTATTTCACCATATAACACCGGCTTCGAGATTTGGTGAGGAAATCCCCAGACTGTACCATAGTATACAGGGGTTAGGATTAGAGTTAGTGTTAAATGCGGTTTGAACAACGGATCAACATCATGGCACACGGGTAGTAATCCATAATTGCTCCGTTCTTCTTCTAACTCAAGTCTGAGTCCAAAGAAGCTCAGCACAGGCTCTCTAGCACCAGCGAGGATCTTCTGTGTGTAGATGTTTAACTCCAAATTTTGCCCAGGCAGCGCCGTTTGGCTACTCTTTTAGATTTCCAACTGACAAGGAATTTTTTTACGTGCGCAACAATGCACATGGGCGTCCGATCTCACTACCTAGAGACCAGCGGGAATTACCAGAAGTCCAAGTCCACGTGAAAACATCCCAGCACTTACGGGGGATTGAACCCAGAACCTCTAGCACTTGAGGCGGACACCATGCCTCGAGACCACGAATACTACTATTAAACCAAACCCTAACCCACGGGCTGGGGATTTCCTTACCAAATCTCGAAGCTGGCGTGATGTGGTAAAACAACAGAAAAGAACCGCTCTTTACTTTCAATGATGTGTGTAGAAGAATACCAATCCAAAACGTTTCACTTTCCGCTATTCGCCATTATCTCCTGTGTTGTTTAACGAGATCACAGGAACAGTGGAAGACACTGTCGTACTCTGACGATGTGTTAAATAGGCAGAAGGTTGCTGGAGAACAACAAACACAACTCATCTGATTGGAGACGCAAACCTTTACCCGCGCATGTTTTCTAAATGTGTGCAAGGAAATGAGCAAGTTGATAGGCTTGCAGGTAAAGCTACCGTGACGGGCATACATGCCGTGCGCCGTCTGCAAAAACCAAGTGATGACTAGGAATTCTTAACCATGAACAGACCTCAAGAGTAGCATGTTAAAAGTGGTATGGCCAGACAAGTGTACTCTGCAGGATGCCAAAGAAGGGTAAGAAACCAACATATGAGTGGTGTCATCAGCCGCTACACGCTGCGGGATTTACTGAGGAGGGGGCAGGTAAAGCTACAGTCGGGATATGTGAACCAGCGTCATTGCACACGGCTATAAATCACTAGTCCTCTGCCATCGGTACGGACAGCTGAAAAGAAACTGCCTGCCTGTGTCGCCGTCCGCACGTAACTGCAGCTACATTCCTCCGTTTACCCAGTGTGTCACTCTGGTACCCATTTCCTAGAGGCGAACCCCGGGAACCGCCCGGTTTCGAACACCGAGCGTGGCTGCAGCGAATCGCAGCTGGATTTGAAAGCGAGCCTCCTATCGACTGAGCTAACGCAGAGGAGGAGGGGATCTTAGCACTTATGGACTGAATTCTTTTACGTACAATGAGATTAATCTCATAACTAACTAGCCTATATATTTTTTCCCCGCCATATGCCAAACCTAGCTGTTTTGTTAATCCAGTCTCCACTAGTTATTAATTAAACTATTCTGCCTCATAATGTTATTATTTAAGTTTCTTCGGACTCAAATATCATTAGTTAAAGTAACAACCTCTTACGATATAACGAATTAAATTGACAGCTGTGTGGGACTTGAAAAGAGTTAAGTGAAGAAATATAGGTGGTTTCAACCTGTGAAAAGTTGCCAGTAAGAGTTTTTAGAAAACACGGACGGGAACAACTGCCATATTGGAGGCTCTGCTGTACACTAGGAAGCCGAGCTCGTAATTTTGTCATCTGGAGGTTCTTGTTTGCCTCTACTAGGTCTACACAAATGGCGGGGTTGCCTCGTAGGATAATCAAGGTTGTTAAAGAACATTGATGTAATGTAATCATGGTTCAAAAAGAAAGCAACACAAATAACACTTGCTAATTTCTGTCTGCCAAGCGTGTCGTCATCTTCTTGTGCAGTCAGTGAGGGATGCGACAAAGAAGGATTGCATTGAATTGTTTATAAATTTACTATAAAGAACTCAGTAAACTGAGTTTATTTTATAGATTTTGTTCACACTAGTGTCGCAGAATTGTAAAAATTAGTAGACAGCGTCACAACGTTTTTAATTGATTGTCACATCGAGGATTTATCATTTCCATTGAATGATTATCATTATGATTAATAATTAATGATAGTTAAAGAATGTTAATAATATAATATTATTAATATTTTATTAATAATCATCACACTTTCTACACAAAACCTAAACTGACTAAACTCAGTATCACGAGACTTGACTTAGACTATGTCATTGTTTTATTTTGGTCAGTGTTTGTTTCATATCTTCTTCTTTGCGTTCACTGGCTGTAATCTCCGGCAAGAAGTTCTGTTTGTCCATCTAGGGAGTTTAGTCTTGTTCCAGAACCTGAGTGTTGCGTGCACATCCATTCAACAGATCTGACTTTTATGTACATTGTTGTTTCCTTGCCTCTCAGGCAGATGCACACTCCAACTTCGAAAGAAGCCCCTGATTAGTCGACTCTTACGACATGCTTGTTGTTGGGGAGGCAGTGGGGTCTGTTCTTGTTTTCCCCAGAATGGGGCCTAGACACCCACACAGGGAAGTGTATCATGATAAAATGGATAGCTGAAAGAAACTATTAAACATAGACCCACTCCCCCCCCCCCCCCCCCCCCCCCCCCCCCCAAAAAAAAAAACCCCACAACTTAACAAGCATGCCATAAAATGTATCTAATTTGGACTGTTTCCTTTGAAGTAAAAAGGCATCTATCTCCCTGAGAGGTAAGGAACCAACAGTCTGCCAACAAATAAGCCATATCTGAAGAACATAAGGACATATCCGTAATTAGTTACCTTGTGTGACATGCTAATTAGAGGGACAGTTAGTTTATTCTTTATCCCTTACACAGGGGCCCATGAACCCTTACAAGGATTCTTTATATATGATTAATATTTCTACAGATGGCAGTGTGTTGTATTTGATAGACAAGTTGTTTCTTGTGTACCGGTTTCATCATAGGGTGGCATCATGAGGCTTATTCTTATTTGTTTTTGTTTAATTGGTGATGTTCAGCAAGTAATATTCATACAAGCAGTATCAGCTTCTGAGTTGAATGCATGGCGTGACACTGTGAGCTATGTGTGTTTTTTGTTGGCACAGGAGCGGAGCAACTATGTTGTGACCTGTTTGCTATGAAGCTTAAACTAGGATTACCAGATCATAGTATGGATATTGTTATTAGAACCAAGCCATGGATGATATCTGTAGCTGTACCATAAAGATCTGGCCAGAATAGGACATAGAAGACCCCGCAGTGTCAGTTTGATGTTAGGCTTTGTTTTGAGAAAGTAATATTTTTATGCTGGCAGTATTCAGTCACAGTAGTCTCCCAAGTGTGGATGATCATCTTCATGTCTTGGGTGCAGTCACATGCAGTCCTCAATGTTTCTTCTAGAGCAGGTCTATTCAGCTGGTGGCCCTTGGACCAGATTAAACCCGCGGAGGTCAAGCAAGTGGCCCACGAATCATTGCCAGTTATTATGTACAAGTGATTTGTCTATGTTGTGGGTCAGGCTACTGGCCCATGACGACCCCATTAAAAAAGTGTTAGCCCCTGAGCAAACTTAATGAATAGCCCTGTTCTGGTGGAATGCTGGTGAAGAAACTTGCTCTTATCCCTGCTGCTTGCTCTGTGATTATGCCTTTTTTTTTACAGTTTTTCTACAGGAAGACCAGTTATGTTACTTGTAGTTCGTTGTCAACTTTCTTATGTTTGGTTTAAAAAAAAAATTTAAACCAACCAGTTTAGGCTTAAAATTTCTGTTCAAGTTATGATTAGGGAATGAACTAGATAGAGCTTTCTGACACCATTGTAATTGAAAGCATTTGATTGGGTCTACTTTAGATTATAAGGATAGGAAAGTCCTGGGTTCGGGTCCTGACAGGGTCTGGACTTTTTCTTCTTCCCAAAATGACCTTGGCTCCCAGGTTGACCCAACCTTGAGTGGGTCCCAAGTACAGTCCTAAGAAGTATAAGCGGCTGACGTGATGCTGACCACATCACCCACCAAGTGCTGTTTGGTCTATAAGATATAGGTCTAGCCCTATGTACCCAATAAATCTAAAGGAGTGAAAAAAGGTCCTTTCAGTTTTTTTTGTTTTTTTTTGTAAACTGGAGATTATGAGATGAGTAACTAAAAGTTGGATCAGTTATATGACAGCTGTGTTGATATATTTCATAAATATAAATTATTTTATTTCAGGAAACACAACGCCTTTTGGCAGAACCTGTGGTTGGCATCTTAGCTGTGCCGGATGAAGCTAATGCTCGCTATTTCCACGTAGTAGTTGGAGGCCCATCACAGGCAAGTAAAGATATAAGGGTATGATTGTTGAACATAGTAGTTGGAGGCCAGTCACAGGCAAGTAAAGATATAAGGGTATGATTGTTGAACATAGTAGTTGGAGGCCCGTCACAGGGAAGTAAAGATATAAGGGTATGATTGTTGAATGTAGTAGTTGGAGGCCAGTCACAGGGAAGTAAAGATATAAGGGTATGATTGTTGAACATAGTAGTTGGAGGCCAGTCACAGGCAAGTAAAGATATAAGGGTATGATTGTTGAACATAGTAGTTGGAGGCCCATCACAGGCAAGTAAAGATATAAGGGTATGATTGTTGAACATAGTAGTTGGAGGCCAGTCACAGGCAAGTAAAGATATAAGGGTATGATTGTTGAACATAGTAGTTGGAGGCCCGTCACAGGGAAGTAAAGATATAAGGGTATGATTGTTGAATGTAGTAGTTGGAGGCCAGTCACAGGCAAGTAAAGATATAAGGGTATGATTGTTGAACATAGTAGTTGGAGGCCAGTCACAGGCAAGTAAAGATATAAGGGTATGATTGTTGAATGTAGTAGTTGGAGGCCAGTCACAGGCAAGTAAAGATATAAGGGTATGATTGTTGAACATAGTAGTTGGAGGCCAGTCACAGGCAAGTAAAGATATAAGGGTATGATTGTTGAACGTAATAGTTGAAGGCCCTGTCACAGGTAAGTAAAGATATAAGGGTATGATTGTTGAATGTAGTAGTTGGAGGCCCGTCACAGGCAAGTAGAGATATAAGGGTTTGATTGTTGAATGTAGTAGTTGGAGGCCAGTCACAGGCAAGTAAAGATATAAGGGTATGATTGTTGAACGTAGTAGTTGGAGGCCAGTCACAGGGAAGTAAAGATATAAGGGTATGATTGTTGAACATAGTAGTTGGAGGCCAGTCACAGGGAAGTAAAGATATAAGGGTATGATTGTTGAACATAGTAGTTGGAGGCCAGTCACAGGGAAGTAAAGATATAAGGGTATGATTGTTGAACATAGTAGTTGGAGGCCCGTCTCAGGCAAGTATAGATTTAAGGGTATGATTGTTGAATGTAGTAGTTGGAGGCCAGTCACAGGCAAGTAAAGATATAAGGGTATGATTGTTGAATGTAGTAGTTGGAGGCCAGTCACAGGCAAGTAAAGATATAAGGGTATGATTGTTGAATGTAGTAGTTGGAGGCCCGTCACAGGGAAGTAAAGATATAAGGGTATGATTGTTGAATGTAGTAGTTGGAGGCCAGTCACAGGCAAGTAAAGATATAAGGGTATGATTGTTGAATGTAGTAGTTGGAGGCCAGTCACAGGGAAGTAAAGATATAAGGGTATGATTGTTGAATGTAGTAGTTGGAGGCCAGTCACAGGCAAGTAAAGATATAAGGGTATGATTGTTGAATGTAGTAGTTGGAGGCCAGTCACAGGGAAGTAAAGATATAAGGGTATGATTGTTGAATGTAGTAGTTGGAGGCCAGTCACAGGCAAGTAAAGATATAAGGGTATGATTGTTGAATGTAGTAGTTGGAGGCCAGTCACAGGCATGTAAAGATATAAGGGTATGATTGTTGAATGTAGTAGTTGGAGGCCAGTCACAGGCAAGTAAAGATATAAGGGTATGATTGTTGAACATAGTAGTTGGAGGCCCGTCACAGGGAAGTAAAGATATAAGGGTATGATTGTTGAATGTAGTAGTTGGAGGCCAGTCACAGGCAAGTAAAGATATAAGGGTATGATTGTTGAACATAGTAGTTGGAGGCCAGTCACAGGCAAGTAAAGATATAAGGGTATGATTGTTGAATGTAGTAGTTGGAGGCCAGTCACAGGCAAGTAAAGATATAAGGGTATGATTGTTGAACATAGTAGTTGGAGGCCAGTCACAGGCAAGTAAAGATATAAGGGTATGATTGTTGAACATAGTAGTTGGAGGCCAGTCACAGGCAAGTAAAGATATAAGGGTATGATTGTTGAACATAGTAGTTGGAGGCCAGTCACAGGGAAGTAAAGATATAAGGGTATGATTGTTGAACATAGTAGTTGGAGGCCCGTCTCAGGCAAGTAAAGATTTAAGGGTATGATTGTTGAATGTAGTAGTTGGAGGCCAGTCACAGGCAAGTAAAGATATAAGGGTATGATTGTTGAATGTAGTAGTTGGAGGCCAGTCACAGGCAAGTAAAGATATAAGGGTATGATTGTTGAATGTAGTAGTTGGAGGCCCGTCACAGGGAAGTAAAGATATAAGGGTATGATTGTTGAATGTAGTAGTTGGAGGCCAGTCACAGGCAAGTAAAGATATAAGGGTATGATTGTTGAATGTAGTAGTTGGAGGCCAGTCACAGGCAAGTAAAGATATAAGGGTATGATTGTTGAATGTAGTAGTTGGAGGCCAGTCACAGGCAAGTAAAGATATAAGGGTATGATTGTTGAATGTAGTAGTTGGAGGCCAGTCACAGGCAAGTAAAGATATAAGGGTATGATTGTTGAATGTAGTAGTTGGAGGCCAGTCACAGGGAAGTAAAGATATAAGGGTATGATTGTTGAATGTAGTAGTTGGAGGCCAGTCACAGGCAAGTAAAGATATAAGGGTATGATTGTTGAATGTAGTAGTTGGAGGCCAGTCACAGGCATGTAAAGATATAAGGGTATGATTGTTGAATGTAGTAGTTGGAGGCCAGTCACAGGCATGTAAAGATATAAAGGTTTGATTGTTGAATGTAGTAGTTGGAGGCCCGTCTCAGGCAGGTAAAGATATAAAGGTTTGATTGTTGAAGTTTGTTGTTTCTCCATCACAGATGATGATGAGCTGTCCTTTTATCCGCTATGTTGATGCTGTTCTGTCCGCCTCACATACCATTGAAGGTAAAAAATAAGGGACCCTTTTCCACTCCTTCAGGCATTTAGGACTAGACCAGTATTTTATAGACCAGTTGGCACTCAGTCGGTGATATGATCAACATCACGCCGCCCACCTTTACTTCCCAGGATTGTACCTAATACCCCTTTAAGGCAGGGTCAACCTTGGAAAAGGTTCTTTTTAAAAAAGTTCGGCTTTGCCAGGTCCTGAACTCACAGCCTTCTGAACCGCAGGCAAGCGTCTAGCTGCTACACTAGGGTAGCTCCTTCCCACATACTACTGCTCCCCGACAGAGAGGTGGTCGCCAGGATGAATGGCCTCATGTAGCGACTTCCAAGTGATACCTTTAACAAGATCTTGAGCTGGTCCTTAAAATGTTTTTTTTTTTTGGGTCTGTCTTGGGAGCATTTTCCTCTTTGCAGCTGGTGGTAATCTGGCATATAAAGTCTGCGGCCTGCCCAGTGGAGCTGTTGAAAATATTTACTGAAAATTCATTTTAACTTTTCTTTGGCTTGGTTTTGTTGCAGTGGTCGGCGAATCGTGGCTCTTTAGGAACATGAGTGCGGCTCGGTCAGTTGGCCACAAATCAGTTTTGACTCTGAAAGACATGGTTTCTGACGGGTTCTTGAAAAGAATTTTGGCTCTCAAAGAAAAGTTAATCATCCTGCTGCTTAATTTTGGTCCTTTTGACTGATGAGTTTGCTGAGTTTTGGTCCTTTTGACTGATGAGTTTGATAGGATAGGAGTGCTATATCATCCTATCACATAAACATGAACATATACAAGAGAAAAGTAACAAACTACACTGCACAGCAGAAATGGTGGGACTGAGAATAAATACAAAGAAAACTAAGATCATGACAAACAGTCCAAACCAACAACCAGTGACCATAAGTAACCAATCACTTGAAAATGTAGAACATTTCACATATCTTGGCAGTGTGGTGTCCCTACTGGGAGGGACAGAGGAAGACATACAGTCACACCTGAACAAAGCTAGAGCTGCTTTTGGAAGGATGAGGCAAATCTGGAAATCCAACAATTACTGCAGAGGAACAAAACTCCTGCTCTGCAAGAGCATTATTTTGCCAGTTCTTCTTTATGGAGCGGATGCTGGAGAATGACCAAAAAGGATGCACACAAGCTGTCCGTCCACCTTCCACCACACATGTCTACGTAGAATTATCAAAATTTTCTGGCCAGATACAATCTCAAACACTAAACTACTTCAAGCCACAAACCAAGAAACTTTAGACAGTATGATTACCAAGAGAAGATGGAAATGGCTTGGCCACGTTATGAGAATGACTTCTGATATACCTGCCAAAACAGCTCTCACATGGACACCAGAGGGAAAGAGAAAACAGGGGTGCCCAAAAACAACATGGAGACGAATGATGGAAAGTGACATGAGTTCAGCATCTTTGACATGGAAAACTGCACTGAAGATTGCACAGGACAGGAAAGCATGGAAAGTCCTCTCTGAAGCCTCATGTGCCACTAGGCATAACGAGAACTGATGATGATTGACTGATGAGTTTGCTGAGTTTTGGTCCTTTTGACTGATGAGTTTGCCGACCAATGGTCTCTTGTAACACAGGTTTACTTATAACATGTTGTAACTGGCTGTTAGTGTTTTTTTTTTTTTAAGCTGAAGTTGAAGAACACAGGTTTAGATAAGTTACTATCTGAATCATGGCTAGATGCTCGTCTTTAGATCCAAAGGTCACGGGTTCAAATCCACATGTAGCTGGATTTGTCAACACATGACCTTGGCTCCTAGGTCGAACCAGCCTAAATGGGTACCAGGTAAAGATCTGGGAAGTAAAGGCAACCGGCATGGTCTTGACCACATCACCCACTGAGGGCCAGTTGGTATATCAAAATTTCAGTCTAGCCTCTTATGCTTGATGGGCTGTGTGTGTGTAAAGGGATCATTACTTTTTATGTGAATATACTAATGACCATGTTTTTGACATATGACAGTAATGAACCTTTTTTTCTGTGCAGTCTCCCTATGAAGGCGGCCAGTTTAGACTGGAACTGTTTCTGCCAGAAGAGTACCCAATGTCTGCTCCAAAAGTGAGGTTTATGACCAAGATCTATCACCCAAATATAGACAAGCTTGGACGGATATGCCTGGATATACTTAAAGGTATGCCTTTCATTTGATCTTTATTGGTTTGAGAGTTTTCTAGAAGGTTTCCTCTTTTTTTGCATTTACTGGCTGTAAATTCCAGCGAAAATTTATTGTTATTTGTCCACTTTTGGACTTGAATCGTGTCCCAGGTCTTAAGTTTTGTGTGCACACCCATTTCACAGATCTGGCTCATTTGTTTGCAGACTATTGGTTTCATGCCATCTACATGCACAGACTTCTGGTTGGGTACCTGTTTCTGGGATGATTGTGAAAAGGTATAGGTAGGTCTTGACACTGTGAGCCCTGCTCCGCTGCAACACCACATGTAGTTCACAACATTTGAGTCCCCCTGGTTTAAGTGGGAAACTTAGGCATTTAGACTATTTAGTGGCAGAGCTTATACCCAAATGACTACACACGGATTTAAGAGATTCTTCAAGTGTGTTGGGACCAGTCAAGAGGAAAGAACGTACTTCTTTATAGGACGTCATTTGCTTCATTCCGGACGCAGAGTTGACAAGGACAGTGCTTTCCATGTGGTTTACCACACACTGAATGGTTGACTGCGAAGAATGGCTGAAGCTTTAACAACTAAAATCAACCACCCCCTCCTGTGTAAGCAGACATAATTGATAGTAAATTTGAAGTTACCATGGTAGTCTCATGACTGCAGTGAACTTAGGGCGACTAGACAAACACATTAAATCTAAAGAAACCATTCGAATTTCATTTGAATCAACCATGTGCATTTCATATGGATTTATTCATTTTTTGTGTGTGCTTCATTTTATGTTGATGTAATGCACCTGACGAGATACAGCGAAATGTGCCTGGCAATAAATTGTGCAATGTATTGTTTGGTCTCTGACAAGGTCTTTATCTGTCAGAATGTGATTGGTGTGAAGATTTTTGTCTCCATCTGGGTACTGAAATATCCTCTTCATGGGGACTGTGCTGAAGGACTCCTTTTACCCCCCTAGAAACCCGGCAACTGACAGGGTATGCAAGCCAGTGCTTGAACTGTACATGTGTGGAGAGGCACATGCAATATAACCAGGTTAACACAGTACATATATTCTGGCTGAAATTAGCCTAAGTTGTTAATGTTTTCTCTATCTTCTACTCATACTGTGTGGCCTTTCAGCATCAGGTTTTGAAGATGCATCGGATGAGAGCCTTGGTATGTGCTATGTATGTAAAGATCCCTTTTCATGCCTTTAGGTGTATGGGAAGAGCACCCATATTTTTACAGACCAGTTGGCACTAGGTGGGTAATGTGGTCAGCATTGCAATGCCCCATACCGTGATACCCAGCAGTGGGTTTCCATTGGGTTATGTTGGAATTATCAGTCGGACTTGGAAGGCCTAAGTCACGGACGCCACTTATCTGCTGCGTAGATGTTGATATTTACGGCTTCAGATATTCCATCTGTCCATCACTTGTGTGGTTGGTCTCCAGTTCTGCTTCCATTATACTGAGTGACTGGGCTTTCTGTGATGGTAGTCTTGACGCGTGTCCAACACTATTTGATCTGTTGACTCTTGATGTAGTTTAATGCTGGTTCCATCCCAGTCTCTTTCCTGATATCCTCATTTCTGATCCTGTCTCTTCTAGTCATCATCATCATGTAGCAGGTCCTTTGCAGAACTTTGCTCTCATCACAGTCTGTCTGTAAGAAACTCGGTCTCTTGCCAGTTCTCCCGCCTCATGAACTTTCACACTCAAGGAGTCACTTATATCCTGTGCCCATCTTCGTGTCGGTCGGCCCCTGCCCCTCCTTCCTGGTACCATGCCTTCTGCGATAATTTTTTCCAGTCCGTCGTGGCGCTTGATATGACCAAAATATTTCAGCTTTCGAGAAAGGATGCTGTTTATTAGCCAATCTTCCTTGATGTTCAGATCTTTTAAGATGCCAATATTTCTCTTCTTTGTCCAAGATATTCTGAGAATCTTTCTATAGTCTCTTCTAGTAACTTTTTAAAATTCCTATTTCAATAAGTTTGCCTCTTTTGCACCAATGTACAGCCACATGATAATGACAAACATGGTTATCAGTTTTTATTCTTGAAATTTGTTCTCCATTCAGTTTGATGCAGAAATGCCAAATATGAGTTTATGTCAGATAGTTGTGAAGCTATGGCATTTTTAGTAGACACTAAAATATGTGGTATCTGGTAATGTGCAAGGGTTAACAGGCTTGGTAGTCAGTGGGTTAGTGGACTATATTTTATATTTGGCACTGATAACACAATGTTGGTTTTAAAAAATACTGAATTAAATTGTACTCTTTTAGTGTCCTTTGTTACATGTTTGCTGTGTCGAATTCTTGGTGAAATTTATCCAGTGATTTGATTTGCTTGTTTACATCTGTGATCCATCTCAGCTTCGATTGGATGATATTGTGCTCCTTAGATACTTGACGTCTTTTGCTTGCTTGAGTTTTTGGTTTTCTATGCATTTCTTGATTGGGGAAAGAATAGACCTCAACCTTCTAACAAGCATGCCATAAAGGAGGACTATTGAGGGGCGTTTTCTTCGAAGTGGGAGTGCATCTGATGAGAAATAAAGAACCAACAGCCTGCATACAAATAGCCAGATCTGTGAAACGAATTTGCATGCAAAACTCAAGTCCCTGAAAAAGACGAAAGTCCAGAAGTGGACGAATAACCAGAACTTTCCATTTGAGTTGTAAGAAAGTGAAGGTTAAGAACAACAAGAACAGTTGACAGGGACAGCATAATTGCTAATGGTAGACATTTCAGGGAAGTTGAATTCAAGACTTTTAAAATATAACATTTAATGACAATTATTTGTAACTAAATGTTGTTGCAGTTTTAAAATTATTATTATAACTTCACTGTTAGTCATGTATGTATGTATGAATCAGCTATTCATTGCTTCAAAGAACTGTACTTTCTCGCAGACAAATGGAGCCCTGCCTTGCAAATCCGAACTGTTCTGCTTTCCATCCAAGCGTTGTTGAGTGCACCCAACCCAGACGATCCTCTAGACAACAATGTAGCTGAACACTGGAAATCAAATGAGAAAAGTGCTATTGAACAGGGTATATTTTCTTTTTGCTCATATGCGGTCTGCATCTGTTTATAAATTTATGACTTGCATCTTATTCTGGTCAGTATAACCACTTCCTCTTGCAGCTTCTCGGGTCTCATTGTGGGCTGAAAAAATATCCGACCCACCACCCCCATTTCACAAGCATATCATAAAGTTTGACTAATAAGGGATTTTCCTTTGGAGTCAGGGTGCATTTGCCTGAGAGGCAAAGAACCAACAGTCTATATCAGCGATTCCCAAACTAAGCGGGGAAGCCGCAAAATATTTGAAGATACAAGAGTTTTTTTGTTTTTTTTTAAATCTCTTACATACGACTAGTCATACTTTTCCTCAGGTTAGGGCGCTGCGGTAAAATTTTAATTGAAAAAAAGGCGCCACGACTAACAACAGTTTGGGAAACACTGGTCTACATAGATAAAAGCCAGATCTGTAAAATAGAATTGCATGCAAATCTGAAGTTCTGGAACAAGACTAAAAGTCCAGAAGTAGACAAACAACCAGAACTTTGTGTTGGAGTTTACGGCCGGGTAACACGAAGAAGAGAAGAAGTTTAACTATTTCTGGCTCAGAGCTGCATTCACTAATTTGATACAGCTTCCTCCATCACCATTGCCTCTCTTTAATTGGAGGAGTGCTTTCTTGTGTGAAGACTGCAGTCTTCTATGGCAACAGTAGTACTCTCAGTTTGGATATCACTCCTCCCTTCCTTACAGCTTTCTCGGCTTTGGATTGAAATCATTGCACCATGTTTAACCCATATGGCTTGGCCTGTCTTGCAGAACAAGTAGCTAGCTGCCAGGCTTATCACACAAAGTACAAACTTGATAGCTCGAGCGAGTCCCTGGATTTTTTTAGTGAAAAACGTCAGTCATGAGCCAGACGGTGCAACTCAGTAGTGAGGGGAAACGGGACATTTAGAGCTTAGCCACGTAGATGATGTTTGAGGTGTGGGTATCGAGTATCACCACTTCAGTATTACAAGGAATTTATATATATATCTTTTTCTTTCATTCGCCTGAAATCAGTTGTCTATATCAGCAATTTTGTCTCTTGTATAAATTTCACTGTCCTTGTTAGTTCATTCAGTGGTCCATAAAGTTTACATTCACTGTTGTTCTTTCTGGCCAAAATGTTTGCCTTAATGTGTCAGATTCGGTGCAGTCCTGGAGTACATGCTCAGCTGTCTGGGGCACCTTTCCACAGGTGCACATGGCTGATACACCTATCTTGAATTTTGTGTACATGTGGTTACATAATCCGCTGTGCCCTGTTCTGAGGTGGAGGATAATGACTTGTTTTTGTCTGTCCATAATAAAATAGTTGTCTTGTGCTGCGGCTAGTGGTTTCCTGATCGATTTAATGATTCTTTTCTTTTCGTGGTATGTGGCTGGTACATCCGGCTACACTTGTGTCGCTCCTTCCCCTGCCAGTTGATCGGCTTCTCATTTCCAGGCACTCCACAATGAGACGGTATCCACTGCATTAGGACTCTTCGCTAAAGCTGAGTTGTGTCAGGAGTGTTTGCAATTCTGGTACTTTCCTAGACTGGAGTGCTTCAAGTACAGATTTTTCATCTGTCAGCTTCACCACATACTGTGAGCTAAGATTGGTATTTAGCAGTTTCTCTGTTGCTATCTTGATAGCCTGAGTTTCTGCATCATAGTTAAATTTATATATATTATACACACACACATAGATATATTTAATTATAGACACACACACACACACATATATATATATATATAGAGAGAGAGAGAGAGAGAGATAAAGTGCTGAGGCTCTGTACATAGGTTTGAGTATACCTGTTTCTTTGTGTGAGTGCTGTATTGGGTGTTTGTAGGCATGCACACACCATGCTACTTTGGAATTCAAATTCTTCAAAATTCGGGCAATTTAGAATCCGAACAAAAGTTTCAAGTCTTTAAACTTGAACCACGCCTTGCAAACTGAATGCTTGGCACATGCCAATTAAACAGCGCCGCTTATGCTTTAAATTAGCACTGCTGCAATCCAATACTTTTTGGCCATGTGGTTGAAAACCCAAGAAGTGTTAACACCTATGATGTTTAAGGTTGACATTCTAATGACCACATATTATCAAATACTGATAGAAGATGTTAGATGAACAGCATATATAAGTTACACATTAGAACTAACTGGTTTTGCAATTAAAAGATGTACAGGAGAAAGGTTACAACATGTGTGTAACCAGTGTGCCATTGGGACAGTCAGCATTTATACTGTAAGAAAGACTGTTGGAGGTGAAACATCTGTGCGGGTGTTCCTGGCATGCTGTGATGTTAATTCTTAAATCAGTAGATATACTTCCTCTGATGTGTGAATTGCTGTGGCCTAGGGTACAAAAAAAGGATCACTTGAGTTTTTATGTCAAGATAGGTCTAGTACTGTCCAGTAAAGTCACCATGTGATTGAACAGATGACTTTCTGGGTGTTTTAATTATATTTTTCTTGCGATGAGAAAACCTAAGAGCCATAAAACTAGAATGTATTTACACTGGAACTCACAGGGTCATAGAGCTAAAGCAGCCTTCCCCCCAAAAAAGCCACACACACGCACATGGAGTATGAAACTGATAGTGGGGTTGAAGGGGTAAGGGTGGCCTGTGGTGTGCTGCATGCATTAGGGAGACTGAGCAGGAGTTGGTTGAGGGCATACACTCTATTGCAGTGAATAAAGGGCAGAACAAGACAAATGTACTGGCATATCCGAATATTGTGTTCCAGGGCCTTCTTTAGCCAGTTTATCAGACCTCTCATTGAACCAGTTTGTCAGACCTGTCATTGAACCAGTTTGTCAGACCTGTCATTGAACCAGTTTGTCAGACCTGTCATTGAACCAGTTTTCATCAGACCTGTCATTGAACCAGTTATCAGACCTCTCATTGAACCAGTTTGTCAGACCTGTCATTGAACCAGTTATCAGACCTCTCATTGAACCAGTTTGTCAGACCTGTCATTGAACCAGTTTTTATCAGACCTGTCATTGAACCAGTTTTCATCAGACCTGTCATTGAACCAGTTTGTCAGACCTGTCATTGAAATGTTTGCCAGACCTGTCATTGAACCAGTTTGTCAGTCCTGTCATTGAACCAGTTTGTCAGACCTATCATTGAACCAGTTTTTATCAGACCTGTCATTGAACCAGTTATCAGACCTGTCATTGAACCAGTTTGTCAGACCTGTCATTGAACCAGTTTGTCAGACCTGTCATTGAACCAGTTTTCATCAGACCTGTCATTGAACCAGTTTGTCAGACCTGTCATTGAACCAGTTTGTCAGACCTGTCATTGAACCAGTTTTCATCAGACCTGTCATTGAACCAGTTTTCATCAGACCTGTCATTGAAATGTTTGCCAGACCTGTCATTGAACCAGTTTTCATCAGACCTGTCATTGAAATGTTTGTCAGACCTGTCATTGAACCAGTTTGTCAGACCTGTCATTGAACCAGTTTTTCAGACCTGTCATTGAACCAGTTTGTCAGACCTGTCATTGAAATGTTTGCCAGACCTGTCATTGAACCAGTTTGTCAGTCCTGTCATTGAACCAGTTTGTCAGACCTATCATTGAACCAGTTTTTATCAGACCTGTCATTGAACCAGTTATCAGACCTGTCATTGAACCAGTTTGTCAGACCTGTCATTGAACCAGTTTGTCAGACCTGTCATTGAACCAGTTTTCATCAGACCTGTGATTGAACCAATTTGTCAGACCTGTCATTGAACCAGTTTGTCAGACCTGTCATTGAACCAGTTTTCATCAGACCTGTCATTGAACCAGTTTTCATCAGACCTGTCATTGAAATGTTTGCCAGACCTGTCATTGAACCAGTTTTCATCAGACCTGTCATTGAAATGTTTGTCAGACCTGTCATTGAACCAGTTTGTCAGGCCTGTCATTGAACCAGTTTTTCAGACCTGTCATTGAACCAGTTATCAGACCTGTCATTGAAATGTTTGCCAGACCTGTCATTGAACCAGTTTGTCAGTCCTGTCATTGAACCAGTTTGTCAGTCCTGTCATTGAACCAGTTTGTCAGACCTGTCATTGAACCAGTTTGTCAGTCCTGTCATTGAACCAGTTTGTCAGTCCTGTCATTGAACCAGTTTGTCAGTCCTGTCATTGAACCAGTTTGTCAGACCTGTCATTGAACAAGTTTGTCAGTCCTGTAATTGAACCAGTTTGTCAGTCCTGTCATTGAGCCAGTTTGTCAGACCTGTCAGTTAATCTGTATTGTCAGACCTGTCAGTTAATCAGTATTGTCAGACCTGTCAGTTAATCAGTATTGTCAGACCTGTCAGTTAATCAGTATTGTCAGACCTGTCAGTTAAAAAGTTTTTTTTTTTCTAGGCCTGTCAGTTAACCAATCTAGCAGACCAGTTTGTGAGAGCTTTCTTGTTCTAGTATAACTGGAATGGGATCCTCTTTAGTAAAGTATTATGTCATTGATATTGGAAAAGCAAATTTTGTTATCTGTATGCTCCTGCACACACGTATACATGTGTATGTATGTTTTATATGTGTTTATACGGTACATTTTTTAAATAAACCTATATATATTTTGTACTGATCTTTTTTTTTGCAGCCCGCCAGTGGACCCAGCTTTATGCCAAGTCAAACACAGTCAACAGTCACTGAGGGGAGTCCGGCTTAGCTCTCAACTACAACACTTCTGCGCCACCTCTTTCGTTAATTGTCTGCAAGATTCATCTTAGAAGTATAAACAGAACTACATCTTGCACTCAGTTGCCTGTCAGATGCCTGCATTTGTGTATCATGTTACTGGACTTTGTGACTGACATGTTGTGTTCTAAATGGTGTGTGACCTTTAATATATGTCCTTGACGTCATACAGGTATGAATCTTTGGCCAGGATTTTATGCATGACTGGTCTTGTTGTTGCTTTATTTTAATTCATTAAAGTAGGTTTGGCTGCTCTTGGGGCGTTGTACATAAGTGTTGTACTGGTTATTGATTCAATGGGTTCCTGTTTTTAATTAGTGTATGTTATGGGGGAAAAGCAGATATGAAATGACCACACAAGGAATGCCACTGGTACATATGATTAGCCAGTTACAGTTGTGTATGAACAGAGAGGTAAGAATGATTTGAACAGTATAGACACCATCAATAGATTGCACATTTTATGCATGCCATATTTTGGTGTATGAGGAGTGGCTGGCAGAGCAGTTACAGTTATTGTTATTCTTCTCGTTTTCTGCCTTTTAGCGTCAGGTTTTGTGGAGGCGTCGAGTGTGAGCACTGGTATGTGCTTTGAAGGTGCTGATTTTTATGTCCCTCGATACTTCATCTAACTATCACTTGTGTGGTTGACCTCTTGTCTACTTCCATTACATCTGAGTTACAGGGCTCTCTGTCTTGCACTATCTGGTGGTAGTCTTGACCCATGTCCAAACCATTTGATCTGTTGTCTTTCAGTGTAGTTTAGTACTGGTTCATTATATTGCCAGGCAATAAATTGTGCAGTCTGTTGTTTGTGTCTTCTTAGTTCAAATGTTCTACAGGGAAACATTTCTTTAAATGTAGATATAGTTGTGAGAGAATGGTAGCTTTCTAGACATCATCGATGTTCATCTAACTCTTGCAGTCCTAGAAAATGATCATAGCTGATGCCTGATATGCAGCAGTTTTGATGGCAACAAAAGCAAAGGTTTATTTCAGGGCCATTCAACTAAGTTTACTCATTGGCTAAAATGTTGGAGGCCAGAGGCCCGAGCTCCAGCAAAGAAACATTAATACAAAACAGTCAACATATGATCCTCCGCAGGCGACTACTAGGCATCTGCGGGCCAGATTTAGCATGCGGATGGCCAGTTAAAGAGTCCTGGCATACTGCATCCAAATACACAGGAAATTGTGAGCGACTTGTGTTGCTTTAGTTTGCCTGACTAAATTGAAGATCTACAAAAGTACAAAGCATATTGCCTGGTGCATATGAATAATGACAAGTGCAGAGAATGCATTGTTTGGGACTGAAGGCGTTAAGAGCATGGGTTTCTGTAGTGGATGTGGACAGTGGTGTGCCCCTGGGGATGTGAGACTTTGAGGTAAATGCAAAGTGAAATGTGTGTTTGTGTATTGTATGAGAATTCCAAGGATTGTAATTCAGGGGTATGAGGCACAAACTAACATTTGTGCATGGTTGAGGGTAGAGGATTTATTGGCCGATGCAAGCACTAGCACCATGTGACTTGTGTATTTTACGTGTCAAGCAAGAAAGAAGTTTTTTGTGTTTAAAGTTTGAACAACAAATGAACATCATGGCACACGGGTTGTAACCCATAAGTGTTCCATTCAACTTGTAACTCAAGTCTGAGTCCGAAGTAGCTCAGCGCAGTGCACGGACTCCCCTCGCCAGCGAGGGTCCTGAAATATTTTGGGCAGATTTTTAACTCTAAATTTTGTCCGGGCAGCGCCGTTAGGCTACTCTTTTCTATTCCCAACTGCCAAGGGATTTATTTTTACCTGCGCACCAATACACAAAGGCATTCGATCTCACTACCCAGAGACCAGGGGGAATTACTAGAAGTCCAGGTGAACAGAAAAAAATCCCAGCTTGAACCCTGGACCTCTAACACGAAGCGGACACCTTGCCTTGAGACCACGCAGCCCCCTTTTGTTGTGTTTTGATTGTGAAAGGCTTCATGAGTGAGTAGACTATAAATCAGTTACGACAATTGTTATTTTCGCAAAGCTTACGACTGACATACAGTGACTGTTGTATTTAATACTTCTCTATGTAGCTGTCTTATTTTTTTTAGGGCAGAAAATAGCAGACACTAAGATATATTTTCCCCAAACAGGACTGCATGATACACCACTTGGTGCAGCCATCACAGGTACCCTGATTATAACTTTCTTGGTGGTTGAATGAGGTATCCTGAGTTTTGTCCTGTTGGATTGCCATCCATGATGTGACTCTTCAAGTCACAGGTGGTTAAATCATCAGATATTAACCCATAGGAGAGAAACAGGAAACTATGACCTTTCCCCCCTCAAATTAGTTTGTTTAAGAGCTGGTGGTATTGTCTGTGTTCTTTCTAAGCCGAGGCATTACACTTGAACAGTAAGAAATAGAATTGTTAAATTTCTTTGTCATTTTTGAGGCCAACAAATTTGCACTAGTAAACATATCCTGATGTCATGATGAGAAATTATCTTTTCTTTTAGATATTGCACAAATGTAGATGATCTTTGTATATAAGGATATTAAATCACATCTAAAGTTTAATGTTCAGAGTAGATTATATTCATATAAACGTACAAATGAACAGATTCTATACACTGAAAGACTAATTCAACGGGGGGATGTTCTGGGAGATATTCAGCATTAAAGGGGAAACAGAGTCAGACTTTTAATAGGTTGCAACTGGTACTATTGTTAACTCTTCGTTGGTTACTAAAGAAAGGGACAAAGCACATGTGGGAATGTCTCGAGTGCGGTGATGTCAGTTCTTGATTCATTCAGACAGGAGATACCATATTTCTCCATGTATGAGATGCCACGTGTACAAGATATCCCAGATTTGTTAGCCTAAAATTAAGAAAGAAATATTTAAAACAGACGCTGTGTATTATACGACCCCCCAGAATAAAATTGGAAAAATTGTGGGAAGACTTATCTTATACGCGGACAAATGTGGTGAGTGTATTATGCATACAAAACAATTTAAGTAAGTGTCACCTTCCACCCAGTTTGCACATCGGGCATTAGACCCACATCTTGTGATCGTGCAAGTATTATACTGGCTGCATTTAGTTCCTGGTATCCATTTTAGGTTGGGTCAACCTGTGTCAGTTATGAAAATCCACCTTGTTCAAATTTGAGCTGAAATCCTTATGGCCAGTGGACAGGTGCCTCTTCTTACAGCATGGTCACCAGCTGTAAACTCCAGTGGGCAGTTCTGGTTGTTTATCCACCTCTGGACGTAAGTCTCATTCCAAAACTTGAGTTTTGCATGCTTACCTGTTTTACAGATCTGGCTTATTTCTAAGCAGACTATTGGTTTTTCACTTCTTAGGCAGAGCACTGTGACTTCAAAGAAAACACACCTAGTCATTTGACTTATACGACATGCCTGTTAGGAAGCATAGTCTGTCCCATCCCCTGAAAATGTTATTTGTCCAGATTAAAAATTTTTGTGGGGTTGGAGTATGATTGGTACCTTTCCGTCTTTCCAGACGATAGTGTTATATTGCGCTGTGAGGAGGCTTGGGGCTTACAGCCCATGGCGAGTGTGACTAGCAAGACCTGCCCGTGTCAAGAAAAGTCTTCCAAAATGATAGCATGGGATTTCAGGACCGTTGACATCAACATGTGTGTTTAATCCGTTTCTTTTTTAGACGCTCAGCTCTCATCCTTTCTGCAATCTTCTTCCTTCACCCTCATTCCCATCCTGATTTGGGGGTTGGAGTATATAAAGGGAGTAATCAATAAATACAGAGTGAAGTAATAAATGGAATACATTCCCTGGGGCCTTAAAGTATATTAATATATATGGAGTGACTCGAGACATGACCTCTATCACTGAGGCTTCAGAGAAAATTTAACTTTTAAAAATGCCTCTTGGTTCACAAGAAAGCCCTCTGAATGCTTTTTTGAATGACTATATTAATATTTGAACTCATAAATATGGCGCAGGTGTGAGCACAACTAATGGCATTAACTGTATGTGTCTCGTAACCACGTCACTATAAAAGTGGGTTACGTCACATTTGCAGGGCAGAGGTGTCGGTTTTGCGGCTTCTCAGGACGACATGGTTAAATTCTACTGCTTTTTTTCTAATTGTTGTAAATGTTAATACTAAAACTTATGCAAGTTGAAAATGGTTATCTGGAAGCTGTTAACACATGAATGGCAATATAAACTTGCTCCTGGCTGAATATCTCACTGTGATCAACTATCTTTACCTTACATCTCCGAACACATGGCTTTCTTAACATTTGTTCTGCACATCTGGGGATTCTACTGTGGATTACTTAACTCTTCGAGTCTCGAGGAACGCATCACATGTTCATAGGTTCCTATGGGGAAAACAATGGTGCGCCGATTTTATGTCTCTCTTTACTTACTCTTGAGCTGTGATGATAAACCCTCTGGGACTCAAAGAGTTAAAGCAGGCTCTCACTTTTAGGTTACAGTTTGCACAGCTTCCAGAGAATGAATATGATTTCTAGGCAGTTCATTTGTTTGTTGTTGTTTTCTGGATGACCCTCTCTTCTCATTTGTGTGACTGCTAAACATTCTATATATTGGAGCCAAACCCATCATTAAACTCACTGAGAAACAAAGGCTGACTGACTACCTAGTGAGAATGAATCAATCCAGCAATGTTGCCAGCCAGAGCATACAACAGGGCTATACAGCTAAATTTACTGGGGGGGGGGGATGTTTAAAATGGGGATCGTCACGTGCTAGAGACCCGAGCTCCAACATAAAAAGATCATTAGTACAATACAACTGGCAATGATCCAGCGACCACTTGCTTGCCCTCTGCAGGCCAGCTTTGACCTAACTAAAGGTTTTACTTGGTAGTGTGCTCTTTGTGTGTCCATTGAGACGTAGAAACAGTAACACTGAAGAAACACATCTTAGGCATGATGTCCATTGCATCTGACTAAAAGGTGGGGGAATGATCACACAGTCAACAGCAATTGGTACACGTAACGTTAATCTCCCCACGCCCCTCCCATATACAAACTAGCTCACTTTTGATTGGTAGTTCCTGAACCTGTCACTTTGGTACAAGGTTACCCGGGTGTTCCGCAATGCCGTTGATATCGCATGTATATTTCACATAAATAGATTGTTTATTTCAGCACGCCAGTGCTTTTAACGACACAGAAACGGGCCCTAACAGCCCCCCCCCCCCCCCTTTTCCAATAGAGAGTCCTGCAACCTAAGTCACAGGCATTCTCTTTCTCTGAATGAAAACGTAAATGCAAGACAACACAAAGCAAACAATAGAGCGGGACACACCTGTAACCTTCAGGAAAGCTGACCAGCCCAACAAACTTGTGAATGAAAAGGGACCTACTTTGGGGACATTTATGTGAACCTAACCCAGCTATTGATGACCCAACTACACACAATGTTATGGGACAATGATAATGAACACTGAATTAAGGCAGTTGCTTCTTTTCTCCACTCCTGGAATGCCTCGCGGCATCAGGGCAGGAACAGATATCTGGAATGGGCCCTTCTGTTCACTTCATATAAAGTACTTTTAAGTGTCTCTGATATTTCTGCGGCCCAACTTCTGCGTGGTCGACCTCTGGCTCTGTTAACGCTGTATCTGCATAACATTGCTCTCTTAGGTGTCTCTTCTGATGTCAGTCTCGAGTCTCGTTACATGGCCAAACCGTTTTATCTGTTGTCTAACGATAAATTTCAGTATTGGTTCTGTGCAAGCTCTTCTCCTGATATCATTGTTTCTAAGCCAATATTTCCTTGTTATACCTAGCATAGTACGTAAACATTTCATTTCTGTTAAGACTTTTCTCCTTATTATCATTGTTAACAACACCTATGATTAAATTCATCTATAAACAAAAACCGAAATAGTTTGGCCATTTATTGAGAAAGAATCTAATGTTTCAATGAGAGCGTACAACATGGAGGTTAAAACAACAAGAGGACTAAAGATTGCAGACGTCACTGACACATGGCAACCGAGCATGCCCAAGCTCGAACATAGATCATCTGTTAACCTGCGACGCAAAGCAGAATATGGAAGAAAGCAGTCGGTTGTTGATTTTCAAATCAAACTATTTTTGTATCCAAAAGAATTGTCTCTGGGGTGTGGATTAATGGTAGGAATCCCATCTCCAAGTCAAAAAGTGCCAGCTTCAAACGCAGTTGAAGTTTTGTAAACATAAGCAATATCAGGAAGTTAGATAATCTCAAAATTATAGATGGATGCCTTTTCCTCTTCCTCTTCTTCCACCGCTGCGTTCGCCCTTAAAAGTGCCGTTGGCACCATATATTACGGTTTACAAGTAGGCTGCGATATCTGCACCTATTCGCCCAACACATCAGATTTCATAAAACCCTCTTATTAGCTGCCGTTTACGACATGTTTGTTGGGGCTCATTTTGGTCTATTCAACCCCTCCCTTCTCCCCCACCCCATCGGGCACCCAAATCTACACAGGAAGGCTATAGTACTGTATCATGCTTCCAACATCGTGAAGTCCTTGTTTGGGTTCTAGGCCCGTATTGGTGGGACAACATGAAAAATAGTAACCTTCCCACCCCGACAAGCATGTTGTAAAAGGCAACTACATAAGGTTTTGCTAGTGAATGTGTCCAGTTGAGTGTCCGCGAGTGACAGTTCGAAATAAAAAAATATCTGAAAGTGATCGTTCACCTACAAAAATTCTATATCTGAAAATGGCAGTTCACACACCACATTGTATCAGAAAGTGATAAGTCACCCACAAAAACATTGTATCTGAATGTGACAGTTCATCCACAATAACATTATATTTCTGAAAGTGATACTTCACCTACAAAAACATTATATCTGAAAGTGATAGTTCAGCCACAAAAACATTATACATATATCCTAGTGATAGCTGATCCACAAAAAACATCTGAAAGTGATAGTTCATTCACAAAGACATTATGTATTTGAAAGTGATAGTTCATCCACAAAGACATTATATATCTGAAAGTGATTTCACCCATGCTCAGTGACAGCCTCACAATGGTGCTGTGACGTGATCTCGCGTGAACCTAATCATCGACATCGCCAGCTAACACAACACCGTCCAGCTTCTTCAACTGTTTGAGCTGTTTCTTCACCGCGCTAAACCAAATGCCTTCCTCTGATTTGGCTTCTTCTACAGGGTTTCCTATCTGGGAGAAAAAGAAGAACAGCAAAGTTAGGAACCCTTCATACCTTTTGTTGCATCGGCCATATTGTGCTAGATCTATATTTTTATAACAACAAAAAATTATTATTATTGTGCACTCTAAAAAAAAGTTAGATACGGATTCTTTACAGGACGTTGCAGAATCAGCCCCAGCATTATTTTGGCTGTTGTGGTTTTTCTAGGCATATTTTTCGTTCATTAGTTTGCCACAGCTTTCCGGTCAAAGTGGACGCTAGGCAGGTGTACTGTTTTGAGCCGAGGCAAATTTGTTTGCTTCTGTCGGACGGTGGCCAGTGCATTTTTGCTCCATTTGTAGACTGAATTTAGTTTCTGAGTTGAATACATGGCGTGACACTGTAAGCTACGGATTTTATTTGGAATGTTTGTGATCAACGTGGTGGTGTGAATTGTAGATTCAGAAAATGGCGCGATGACGGTTGTTGCAATATTGGTGGTGCCGGTATGTGATTGAAATTGATCGCGTGGGCAACTGCTGATCTGTTGGTGACTTCTGCTACCATCAATGGTGAACTGAATTTCTACTGTCGGACTGTTTGTGTTAGCACTTCGGTGGCTGCCGTATGCTATAATGCGTGTTATTGCTAGATATGCTGAGACAGCAGTCAGTCAATCTTTCCACAAAGGACTGTGATAAACATTCTGTGTGTTTTTCGTTGGCAGAGGAGCGGAGCAAAGATGATGTGACCCGTTTGCTATGAAGCTGAAACTAAGATTATCAGACTACCAGACCAAACTACCACTGCTTTCTCAAAGTCAGCTCTCTGTACCACTTTCATAACCAACGCAAAACGGCCTGCTGCCAAATTGCCTGCAGCTGGGAACGAATATGGCACCCCAGCATTACGAAGCGCCGGCTTTTGGCACTTAAACAAGACTAAACCCCCTATCGCTTAAGACCGCCCTGCTCCTTGAAGATTTATAAAAGGTGCCGAACACCCTATATCTCTTGAGACCGCCCCGTTCCTTAAAGATTCCTAAAGGGTGCTGAGCGCCCCCCCCCCCATGTTTTCTCTGTGGTTTCCCTTGTATTAGATTACTCCTTTTGGCCTCTGAGGAGAATGCCCAGACAGTATGGTTGTGAAAGACAGTGAACAACTTACTAGCAACAAATCCTCAAGGGAGGCAATACTTGAGAGTTTTCCCACTTCTGGCATCTCTGATACACGATTGTGCGCCATATGGAGAACCTAAATCATCAAAACAAAGGGACATATCTTTTATGTGTGATCATGTGGTTAGTAGTGGGGGTTTGTGTGTGCGTGCCTTTGTGAGTGAGGCGTGAAAGATAAGTTGTTAATGAGAGGGGAACAAACTCTTTAAAAAAAAGGGGGGGGGGGCTTGGACAATATGAATGCTCAAGGATATGTGTATATGTGAGAGACGGGGGGGGGGGGGGAAATAACGCATAAGAAAATAGTAGAATAAGAGAGCGTATGTGTGTGTGAAGAAGAGAGAAAGTAAGGTAAAGAATGAGAAGGACTGGTGTGTGAGAGAAGGAGCGCATGCATGTGTTCTTGTGTGTGAGAATGATAGAGTGTATATTGTGTGAGAATGATAGAGTGTATATTGTGTGAGAATGATAGAGTGTATATTGTGTGAGAATGATAGAGTGTATATTGTGTGAGAATGATAGAGTGTATATTGTGTGAGAATGATAGAGTGTATATTACTAGAGAGAGTCTGAATGGCGAGTGTGTACGGATGAAATACAACGTAAAAGTGCCTGAGAGAGAGAAAGAGAGATCTTGGTAATCTTAGTTTCAGCTTCATAGCAAACGGGTCACCCCATAGTTGCTCCGCTCCTGTGCCAACAAAAAAAACACACAGAATGTTTATCACAGTCCCTTGTGGAAAGATTGACAGACTGCTGTCTCAGCATATCTAGTATACACACGATTTAAAAGTACATGGTAGCCATCCAAAGAGCTAACACGAACAGTCCGACATTAGAAATGCAGTTCATCATGGTTAATAGCAGAAGTCACCAACAGACCAGCAGTAGCACACGCCATCAATTTTAATCACATAATGGCACTATCAATATTGCGACAACAGGCATCGCGTCATTTTCTGAATCTACATTTCACACCACCACGTTGGTCACAGTCGAAAAACGTTTTAAATAAAATCTGCAGCTCACAGTGTCCCGCCATGCACTCAGCTTAGAAGCTGGACGACGAAACTATATCCTTTCAGTCTACAAATGGAGCAAAAATGCAACGGCCACCGTCTGGCAGAAGCAAAATATTTGCCACGGCTTAAAACAGTGAACGTGCCTAGCGTCAATTTTGACCGGAAGTGCCGAGAGAGAGAGAAAAGGGGTAGGAGAGAGAAAATCTGAGTTAGAGAATGCTAGCACGCGTAAAGCAGACTACATGAAAGTGAGAGAAAAATTAAGGTACATAATCAGGAATGTGAGATAGTATATTTGTGGGGGAGAATGAGTCTCAAATGTGTGAGCACAAGTGTGTATTTGATAGATGACGAAGATAGCTAGAGAAGATGAGAAATAATGAGAGAACAGAGGGAGGGGGTTGAACGAGATAGCATTTGTGGGTGTGTTTATGTTAGAGTGTGTAAATGTAAGTTTGTGTGATTGTGTGTTTGGTTCTATATACGTGTTTTGTCTATAATTGATAAAAAAAAAGAAGTTCGTACGAATATACGTATTTGGTAATTTAGAAAAAGACAGTGAACCCGGAAAATTAAATTTAAGAAATAACATAAAAAAACACGTGAAACAAAATTAATCATACGGGAACAAAGCAACTCACTAAAGACAATCTTCACACACGGCATTGCAGATTTAGATACATTCAAGCGAACAATTTCCACACAATAGGTAGTTAACACATGTGTGTACCTTGAGTTTTTTCATGCCGGTGATGCCCTTGAACTTGTCAATCATATTGTAGGAAACCCACAGCTCAACAAGCGTGTCACCGAGCACCTCAATCCCCTGCAGGGTCTTCAGGGCGTTCCTGCTCAGTGCCAGGACCTTGAGGTTCTTCAGTCCATTAAGGTTGGCGATCTTCTCCACTTTATTTGTCCCCAGTGATAGATGTTCACACGACTGCGGTGCCATATCAGGGGTATTTGTGAAAATGGCATGTGCGACATTGATAAGATGGGACTGGGTTGTTGACTTTAAACATTACTTTCCTCATTTCAATTTTCAAAAACTGACTGACCGACGTTTAACTCTACCAGCGATAAATACCCACTGACACAAAGTGCCGCCATTCGAAGGAGAATCGCCAGGGCTCAAATCCCAGAAACTTCGTTAGGATATATTTAGGACCCCTTATGACAGCCTGGTTGAGATTTTGAAATAACTACAAATTGCCTCTCATTTGACGATATGCTAATTTTTTAAATATTTTTTATTTTGTGTGTTTTGTTTATGTCTATTGCGCTATACTATTATATTCTCCATACGTATAGTAACATCTCTATCTCTATATATCCTGTTCATGTTGTGTCACGCTAACACATAAAGCATTCACAAATTATCTCCATTGCCTATGGTATCCCATATCAGTTTACATTTCTTCATTGCCCTTAGTGTCTTACTCCGGATTTCCACAAGTTAAGTTGTCGTGACTGTCTCACTTTTGTTTTTATATGTCGCCCATCGGAGAGCTGTCCCTGCCAAAGTCCTATGAGGCATTCTTCAGATATATCTAAGTCATCTATATTTCTTCCGTTGATAACGTTTTCCAGCGAGGAACATTTTACATAGAAATAGCCATGGCTGCTCAGAATCTGCACAAAGCTGATTTCCTACAGGCCACCTAAACCCGACAGGCTGTTTCAAGCATCTGTTTTAAAAACTCTGACCAAGTCGATAAACTTGAGATAAGTCTTTAGTTTTAATAATGTACAATTATTTACAATTTTTTGAAATTGGGTGTTAGAGATGATTAATTAATTCTCTCCAGAATGTTGAATGTTGAATTAAGAATCGATCTCTAAGCACTCGGGACATTCCCATAAGCGCTCCGTCCCTATCTTCAGCAACAAGCCCAGAGTTCCAGTTTCAATGATACTAGTAACTGTCTGATTTATTATCCGTCTATCTTTTCCTGTGAGTGTTGAGAATCGGCCAGATCCTATTGTCAATCCTCGTAACACCATTCTCCTCAGACCGTGATTATCTATTTCTGCTTCCGCACTGTTCACTCGCCCCAAAGAACCCTTACATCTAGCTAGTCAGGCATCAATTCACAACCAACTGGTTCAGAACCAGCCAGTTTATATGCCTTTACTTTTCCCAGCACACAGGTATATCCTTTAGAGAGAGTTCAATGGACGGTAACTACCCGGGACCTCCGAAAAGATGGTTGCCACTCTGCATAAAGTTCTCCAATTGGTTGGGAAACAGTGCATTAGCACTACGGTACTTTTTGAGTCTCGCTATAATTTGTGGTAATTAAATGTTTGAAAATATTACATCCTTCTTAGTGTTTTGGCTGTAGTTGTGTATTGTGGATCTGGAAAAATGTTCCTCCATCTTTTCCTGTTAAACACATTTTGGAGGCTGATTAATTTAATCTTCTTCGCATTCACCGGCTGTAAACTCCGGCGGAAAGTTCAGGTTGTTAATCCAACTGTGGACTTTAGACTTGTTTCATAATCTGACTGTTGCGTACACATCCGTTTTACGGATCTAACTGATTTGTATGCAGACTCTTGGCTCCTTGCCTCTCAGGCAGATGCACTCCGACTTCAAAGGAAACTCCCGTTTTAGTCTACTCTTATGATATGCTTGTTTTGGGCGGCAGTGGTTCTATTCTTGTTTTCCCTACAATAGGGCCCCGGAACCCACAAGGGAAACTGGGTAATTTAAGGGAGGGTCTTTGGCCAGAATTTCAGAGTGTCCAAATTTTATACTACAGTGGATCCCACCTACCATTAAGTTCCCACAAAGTGACGTATGAGGTTTGAACAACGGTTCAACATAACCGGTATCACTCAAGTCCAAGTCCGAAGAAGCTCAGCACAGTGCACAGGCTCTGTAGCACCGGCGAGGATCCTGAAATACTTTTGGTATACTTTTAACTTCAAATTTTGCCCGTAGAATTTCTAGAAGTTCAAGACCACATGCACAAATCCCAGCCCTTACCGTGGATTGAACGGGGGGGGGGGGGGAATTACCAATAAACCAACCAAGCAATTATTTAATCCACCAAGCAACCATTCAACCCACCAAGCAACCATTCAACCCACCAAGCAATCATTCAATCCACCAAGCAACCATTCAACCCACCAATCAATCATTTAACCCACCAAGCAATCATTTAACCAACCAAGCAATCATTTAATCCACCAAGCAACCATTCAACTCACCAAGCAATCATGCAACCCACCAAGCTATCTTTCAACCCACCAAGCAATCATGCAACCCACCAAACAACCATTCAGCCCACCAAACAATCATTCAACCCACCATAGCAATCAATCAACCCCACCAAACAACAATTCAGCCCACCAAGCAATCAATCAACCCACCAAGAAATCAATCAACCCACCAAGCAATCATTCAACCCATCAAACAATCAATCAGTCCACCAAGCAATCAATCAACCCACCAAGAAATCAATCAACCCACCAAGCAATCATTCAACTCATCAAACAATCAATCAGCCCACCAAGCAATCAATCAGACCACCAAGCAATCATTCAACCCACCAAGCAATCATTCAACCCCCAAGCAATCACTCAACCCACCAAGCAATCAATCAGTCCACCAAGCAACCATTAAACCCACCAAGCAATCATTTAACCCACCAAGCAAGGTATAACCTACAACTGCTTTCCGCAATGTACAGTTAATAATACAATTAATAATTATCATGTATGTGTGTGAGTGTGTGTGTGCGTGCGTGCGCAAGCTCGCGCGTATGTTAGTGTTTGTATGCGTGCGTGTGTATTTGTGTGTGTGAGTGTGTGAAAGAAAGAGCGAGGTTTACACCAATAATTATTATTCAATTATTTTACAAAACTAAAAGAGATTCTGACCTCTAGCTGCGACAAAGTTGCATCCATCTTGTCGATGAATGGTATCTTAGCAATCAGTTTCACTATTTTGGCATCTTTTGCTTTCTGGCCAGTCTCATCTTCGAACTGCTTGAGCGCATCCTTAATGGACATCCCCTTAGACATGATTATTTTGTGATTGTTTTACAGTCGAATTCTCGGGAGATCACAGAATTTACAATTTCTTCGTGTAAATTGAAATTGTTGTTTATTTACTGAAGTAGGTGTGTGTTTTGGTTTTTAAAGGTGCGGCACTAACACTTGATTTCGGGAAATTCGGACGCATCAGTTTTGTCAATCAGCTGGTGTTACATCCATCATGGAAAGTAAAGAACAACAGATCAACCTCATAGCACACGGGTAGTAAACCTTTAAGTGCTTTGTTTTTCTTCTTACTCAAGTCTGAGTACGAAGAAGCTCAGCACAGACTGGCGAGGATCCTGAAATACTTTAGCTAGATTTTTACCTCAAAATGTATTTTGCCCAGGCAGCGCCGTTAGGCTACTCTTTTCGATTTCCAACTGCCAAGGGATTCGCAACAATGTACACGGGCGTCTGATCTCACTACTCAGAGACCAGAGGAAATTACTAGAAGTCCAACTCCACTTGAAAAAATTCCAGCCCTTTCCGGGGATTGAGTCCAGAACCTCTAGCCTGGAAATTAAGAGGCAACCGATCGCCAGCGTTCCTACTCAGGCTGTACACATTACAGTTCGTCCATCTGTTTGTGTCATCCTTTCACATGTACCGTCGTCTACCTCTTGCTCGCTATCCTTCAACTTTTCACTCCAGTACGGGTTTTACGAATTGTATGTTTTTGATTGTAGCCAAACTTTTTTTACTTGTCAGTTTGTGAATTTTTGAGGCACAAATAGATCATTACGGTCGAGGAGAATGGCGCTGCGTGGAGTTACCAGGGAATCTGGCCGACGCTCAACACTCGGCTGAAAGGCGAGACTGATATACAGTCAGAGAGTTACTGATGTAAGACGCATTGGTGTGGTGGCTAGACGCTCGCCTGCGGATTGGAAGGTCGTGGGTTCGGGTCCGGACGGAACCGGGCTTTCTTCAGAAATGACCTTGGCTTCCAGGTCGACCCAGCCTTGAGTGGATACCAGGTGCAGTCCTGGGAAGTAAAGGCGGTCGGTGTGATGTTGACCACGTCATCCACCAATACGATTGGTATGTGAAATATAGGCTAGCCCTATATTCCCAATACGCCAGAAGTCGTGGAAAAGGGTCCTTCACTTTTTTACAGTAACTGGTGCCATCGGAATTTCGAAATCTTCGCGTGCTGCTGAAGATAGTGACAGAGCACTTATGGGAGTGTACTGAGTGCTGTGATGACGCTTCCTAATTGGACATTCAACACTGTTAATTCTTTCCCCCCCCCCCCCCCCTATAACAACCCTCTTTCCTTTCCCAAGAGAGAACCTCTGCGTTTAATATTTTGTTTATGTTGTTTCTGTGAAATCTGGCACATTATTCTGTATGTGCACATCTTCAGGGCCAGTTTGGCTTTCTAATTGCTTGTGTTATTGTCCAGATTCCTGTACCATATGGTAGAAATACTTTATATTGGGACAGGTCCAGAAACACAGCTCAACCCATGGGTTGGGGTATACTGGGGCCCCCGGCAACAGCCAGTCTGGGGCTTTACTACCCTCTCTCTCTCTCTCTCTCTCTCTCTCTCTCTCTCTCTCTCTCTCTCTCTCTCTCTCTCTCTCTCTCTCTCTCTCTCACACACACACATACACACAAAGTTAAATGGGTGTAGACCACGGGGCAAACCAAAAAGACATTGGAGATGTAATATAGAGCCGCAGTTCTCAGCCTGCCTGTCGCGATCTTTTTTGTGTCGAAAGACATTTTCACGGGGGTCGCCCAAGACCATCAGAAAACACATATTCATTGAAGTTATGAAGGAAAATAATTGTTTGGGGTCGCCACAACATGAGGGAACTGTATATACTTTTGCCAATTGTGAATTTGAACAAAAAAGACACAAACAATAGACTGCACAATTTATTGCCTGGCCTATTTCGCTGCTCTCTCTTTACATGCATGCTACAGTAACAAGTGATTGAAATGAAGAGTCGATTTTCTTGTTCAGTTCGAAGGATTTTTTTGCCAGTGTTTTCTTGGTGTCGTAGCAGCAGCAGGTAGCAATAACAAAAACAATAAAAACAGATGCACACATTTAATAATAATAATAATAATAATAATAATAATAATAATAATAATAATAATAATAATAATAACACTGCAAGCGGGCTACGACGAATTTAACTTGATTTAAGTTTGTATGACGGATACCTTGTTTTTGTTTGAGTTCACTTGTAAAAAAAAATACATGGCCACTGTGCATAAAAAGGACCTGACAGGAAAAATTGGACTAATTTTTGGATTCCGGACCGAACCTGCGGTCGCTCGATAGGCAGAAGACCTCGCTCAGTCAGCGGCTGATGCACGATACAGGTGCTCCGTAGCACGTGCACTGCCGATTGCATGGGATTATCCGGTTGTCGGGCTGATTTCATGATGGTTGTATGTTCTGAAGCTAGCTGTGAATAGCTCTAGTAGTCAAACTGTGTACAGATATCATGGCTCGGAGATAGTTCATTTTATTAGTGAAGTGCTTGGCATGTTGAGTATTGGTAATGTTGCATTAGTTTTACTATTACGCTTTCTAAACTATACACAGAAGATCTCATGTCTGGGCTAGAATATTTCTCTTTCTAGTCCCCTCCTAACAAACGTTCTTTATCTTGATTGTTATTGGTACTTAGGGCCTTTTCGCTTCGAGTACAATACTAACAACATCAACAATCAGTCTGCATTCTCCGTGCCCTCACATAATAATTTCTCAAAAATTTTCACTTTATCTACAATCACATTTCAGTATATCTGTTGAAGTGTTTACAAAATAGCGCACGTTCGTGACTTGCTTGTTTCCCGTTTGCTAGGAGATACTTCTACGGGCACGTATTTCTTCTCGGCGTCGAGAAGCTTGGCTGTCATTTCCAGAAGGTTTGATTCCAGGGCAACAATTCTCATTCCTTTCTCGCTGTTGTCTTTAGTTAACGTCTGCAGTCTTGTTTGCAGGGAGGTGATTTCTGCCTAGGGAAACATAACGTATATTTATTTATGTCTTAGCAAGCAAGTAAGTAAAATATCACACTCGCCACCCGCACATGCTTACTTGTTGCATCAGACAAGTGTAGCTGTTAGGGGTGGCCCGGTTATAACTTCTCTGGAGATTGAAAGGAGCATTTGTTATTGCCTACTGGTTTACCATCCAAACTAAGAGTCTCTTAGCTCAGCGCTCTTCTTCTTCTTCATCATCTTCTTCTTCTTGGCCTTCACCGGGTGGAAGATTCTAGTTGTTCGTCCACTTCTAGACTTCACTCTTCTTTTATGTTTCGAAATGGAATAATGTAAACCGTATGACATTTAACATCCGAAAGGAACGACGTTGAAGGAAAACTGGACAACCTTTAAGAAAACATTTTATTAGTATAAATGTCAATGAAACAGAAGGAGAATAAAACAAGCAATGAGGAGCATTTGAAGCAGAAATGCATTATAATAGGCGAAAACTGAGCCAGCTGCTGAAGATGGAAAATGACAGAACGGCTTGAGGCGAGACAGTATGCCAGCTAGACACAGCATGGATGTAGTTAGTCAAGGTTTCAACATCATCACAATCGGGTTTCCCCAAACTTGCTCAGTTCACCTATTTCACCTAGCAACTCTATTTTCATTCCCAATTTCCTAAGTACCTCTGTATTTGATAGCTTTTGTTTCCATGAAATACGACCTAATCTTCTGTATATCCACATCTCCAAAGATTTGATGAAAAACAGGTGAATAAACAACCAGTTCCGGAACAATCCAGAAATTTGTGCACGCAGTAAATGCGTATTTCAGTTGCTCAAGACGGCAAAGCCAACAATCGTCACCATAAATGCAGTTTGTCGTTGATGGAAGTAGTCGGGCACGGTAAGCTGGTTACTATACACACACGTCGAATTCTTACATAAGGTATTTCACCAGCTCACATGTAAACCGGCCATATTGAACAAAACGACACAACTGCGCAAAAGAAAGGCATTCCATAACAAAAACATAGATCACAGGGCTGCAACCAAGCACTAAACTCAGTAGCTCAGAGAGCATGTGTATAATCACAATTATTGTCCAACAGGAGCACTCACAATTAACCCAGATATGAATGCAAAACTCAAGTTCCGGAACAATCCTACATCCACCCCAACACTGGACGCAATTTTGTTTTTGTTTTTGTAAAACCCCACCCTGGCTGTCATCGAGGGGCCCTAAATTATAACCTACGGGCTGAAGGAGGCTTCTGGGACAAGTGTCTGTGTGATTCTTAATAGAATGGTGGCACTTTGTGTCACCAGCTGTTTTTTGCCGTCGTGCGGTCCTTGTGGGGTTAAGAGTCAGTCAGTCAGTCAGTCTGGATCAAGACTAGCGGTCCTGGTGGGGTTAAGAGTCAGTCAGTCAGTCTGGATCAAGACTAAAGTTCAAAAGTGGACGAACAACCTAAACTTTCCACTGGAGTTCATAGCCTGAGATCACTAAGATGGTATTAAAATCGATTTTTTTTTTTAAATGTCACAGATTTGAAAATTTAGGCTTTTTAGTGAGCAACAATGGCGACTGCACAAAAGGTTTTGGTGCCCATGTTTGGGTTATTATATATTATAAGTTGAATCACTGTCATCTATTTGAGCAAACAGAATTATGTCAGAGACAAGTCACCTTGAGTTGTTTTGCCTCCTCTGGACTCTGAATACGAAGGACGTCATCCACAGCCTCTTGTTGGCAACACTGTCCCGGTATTGTGTTTTCTACTCCTCCCAGTTCTTCGTTGTTTAATTGTGCATCTCCCACTTTGTCTACATTTGGCTCATCTTGGGAACTCAATCTGGAAAGTTAAAGTGGTGATCAAAACTCATAAAACAATAATATCCGGTTTTACTGTCCAAATATGGTTTTACTGTTTGTTTATAATGTAGTGGCTAAGGCGTTGCGAGTCCGACTCGTAAGCCAGCATACCGCGATCGAAACCAACTGCAGGCTGCGTGGATTTTTGTCGTGGTATGGGACGTCGCAGGTCGACCCAGCCTAAAATGGGTACCAGGATGGGCTGTCCTGGGAAAGTAAAGACAGCCGGCGTAATGCTGACCACATTACCCACAGAGGGCTGATGGTCTGTAAAAATATGGGACGCTCTGCCCATATGCCCGATGCACCGAAAGGCGTGAAAAGGGAACTTTACTTATACTAGTTTTGAAGCTGTAAATTCAGGGTAGTTGAAGATGCAATTCTTCTTTTTCTTCTGCTGCTGCTGCTGTTGCTGTTGCTGTTGCTGGTGCTCTGCTACTGCTTCTTCTTCTGCTGCTGTTGCTGTTGCTGGTGCTCTGCTACTGCTTCTTCTTCTGCTGCTGTTGCTGTTGCTGTTGCTGTTGCTTTGCTACTGCTTCTTCTTCACACAGTGTCAGTTCATTTCCACTACGTAAAATGTGAGTCTTGAAGTCGCAGGGGTAGTCGCCCATACAATTAGACAGGATAGACATAGATATCAATCAATCAATTATGTGCCGTCTCCACAATGAAGGTTGGCTGCAATGGATCTCCAACAAGCCCTGTCTCTTGCCCTTGATGTACACTCACTCATACTGCTGTTCGTCCATCTCTTTATGTTATCCTCCCACTTGTATCGCTGTCTGCCTCTTGCTCGCCTACCTTGAACCTTTCCCTCTAGGATGATCTTTACAATACTGTTATGTCTTTTAATGTGGCCAAAATATTTCACTTGTCTGTTTTTTAATTTCACCTAGCAACTCTCTTTTCATTCCCAATTTCCTCAGTACCTCTGTATTTGATAGCTTTTGTTTCCATGAAATACGACAAAGATATATACACACACATACATACACACACATATACATACATACATAACATAACATTGGCATTGCATAGGCATTGCATTGCATTGCACTGCACTGCACGCACGCACGCACGCACACACACTAACCCACACACATACACACACAGACAGGCAGACAGACACATACCATTCCTACTATCATACCCACATATAATATTAACATGGCCGTACCTGCTTTCGCTACGTGGCTCCAAACTGGCAGGTGATTGGGCTGTCTCTATAACGATAGACGTGGCAACAACTTCAACATTGCCACTTTCAGCGTCCAGCTCGTCCTTGGCCAGTTCGCCTGGTTGTTCACAACAACATCCAGCTGGGCTTCCTGTAGTTAAACAATCGTTTGGGGGTTTCTTCCAGACAACATTAGTTGTTTTGTTTTTTAAATAACCCCTAAATTTAAGACTTTTGAACTATTCATTTTTTTACTGAATGATGAAATGTATTGAGGTACTGCAGCCCCCATCCCCCGCCCCCCCCCCCCCCAGCTTTCTTCCCCACTCTTCCCCCATAAAAAAAATCTCTTTCACTCCCGTGTAGGTTCCATGGCCCATAGAGAGAAAAGGGGGCCAAAAAGAAGAGGTGGGGGGGGGGGGGGTAACTGCAGCTTAACAAACATGTCGTTAAAGGATGTGTCGTGATAGATATCACAGCTGATATCACAGTTTAGCTGTCAGCCACAACACAACGAGTCAGCTTCCATTTAAAGGGTGAGTGCAGAAGAAGAAGAAAAAAGAGGAAGAAGAAGAAGAAGAAAAAGAAGAAGAAAAGAAGAAGAAAGAAGAAGAAGGAAGTGATAATGTTGAATGAATGAGTCAGAATGTATTTGATGCTGTTTAAAGCACTTCGCCGCCCCTCCCGTCCTCCCCCCTCCTGTCCTCCTCCCCCCTCCCCCATTTTAAAATGTCAGTTCCTGGAAGTCTCCAGGTCAGTTAGTTAGCTAGTTAGTTAGTTAGTTAGTTAGTTAGTTAGTTAGTTAGTTAGTTAGTTAGTTAGTTAGTTAGTTAGTTAGTTAGTTAGTTAGTTAGTTAGTTAGTTGGGTTATCCTCATTGCACTCCGGACATGTCCATAGGTGCTCAGAACCTCCTCTCAGTATGAACCCCAACGTCCGGTGGCTAATAGTGTCTCCAGGTCAGACAACCAGGTCAGTAAAGTAAAGTAAAGCACCCTTTTCCCTCCTTTCAGGGCATTGGGTATTTAGGGCTAGACCTATGTTTTAGACGCCGTGGCCGAGCGGCTAGACGCTCGTCGCGGATCGGAAGGTCGTGGATTCGCTCCCTGGCGGAGCCGGACTTTAAAAAAAAATATGACCTTGGCTCCCAGGTCGACCCAGCCCTGAGTGGGTACCGGGTGCAGTCCCGGGAAAGTAAAGGCAGCCGGCGTGTTGCCGACCACATCACCCATCTTCGGCTCTCTAGCGAAGTTGGTTAAACCTGACTTTCGCGGCTGCAGGGTGACGAACTCCTTGTGGTCCGGGTTCACTCCCGGGGTAAGGCAGAAAAGCCACATATCTCCCAGATTAACAGTACCTATAATGGAATCAAGGCCGAAGGGTTGCGATATCCATAGTACCGAGCCAAAGGGTTTACAACTCATGGTTTCTGGATACGTTTAAAAAAAAATGCCGATTGGTCTATAAAAAATATAGGTCTAGCCCTATATGCCCTATACGCCTGATGGCGTGGAAAAGGGTTCTTTACTTTTTTTACTATATTTTATGGACAAAACGGCACTAGGTTGGTAATGTGGTCAACATTACGCCGGCCGCCTTTACTTCCCAGGACTGCACCTGGTACCCATTCAGGGCTGGGCGACATGGGAGCCAAGGAGATAACTATGTAGGGAAATATCTTATTAAAGCATCATGACCAGAGGAAAGACTCACACACAGGGCAGGACAGGGGTCGTGAGGAGAAGAGGGTCGTGAGGACAAGGGGTCGTAAGGACAAGGGAGTCGTGGGTGCATTAGGTCGTGAGAACAAGGGGGTCGTGAGGACAAGGGTGGTGAGGACAAGAGATCCTTTTAACATCGGTCGTGAGGACATGGGGTCGTGAGGTCAAGGAGGTCGTGAGGACAAAGGGTCTTTTTGACATGGGTCGTGAGGACATGGGGTCGTGATGACAGGGCTCGACAGGACAAAGGGATCGCAAGATCAAGGCGTGTGTGAGCATGACGGTTCGACGCCACGAACTGAGCATGTAGGGATACATATATCAGGAACAACCTAACAGAAATGAACACCAACTTGTACAATGCATTGGAAAAAGCGCACGAATGATCCTTACATCCCCCAACACCTCGCTGAGGTAAATGGTGGAAGAGATGAAGAAGATCTATATTTCTGTTATTATTATCAAAGTTTCGGTGTGTATTAACTGCTCTGTTAAGACCCAGCATGCACATGTGTTTTATCTGATATTTATTCAGTTAAGTTTAAATACTTCAATACAGTTTAAAACTAAAGTAAATAATTCCACAACTTATTGTTGGTAGTCGGTAAACAAAAAGCGATGCTGAAATTTAGTCGACAAAAAAAAAGGGTGTGGGGGGGGGGGCGTGAACAAATGAATGCACAGGGGGTCATACATCCTAAATTCAAAATGCATGGCGTAAGAAACGACTCAAAAAGGGTTATATGGGGCCTAATATTTCATTTGTAGAAAACGTATTTTATCCCGTAAAAAGACACAAATGAAACCCGAAACAAATGTATTGGTCCTTAACGTACCTGATCTTGTGTGGTACTGACTGTCGGATGCGTTCAGGCTTGACCCATCTGCGGACCTGATAGAAGTAACGTCTTCACCTTGGCTTTGTCTGGAAGTGGACAGTGTCTCTGTTGAACTATGGTTTCCAGACAATACATCTTGAGTCAGCTCTTCCTGTTGAGCTGATTTTCTGTCTGTACCAGTTAGAGACTTTTGTGACTGTGGCCTATCTTCTATTTTAAAATCTGGCGATACTGGCTTGATTTTGTTGTTATCGTCACTTTCATCTTGTGGTGTTGCTTCTATTTCCTCTCGTATTGCCCCGGTCTCATCTGGTGTTGCTCCTGCTTCATCTTTTGTTGTTCCGACTCCATCTTGTGCTACTCCTGTTTCTTCTTGCGGTACTGCTTCTGTTTCCTCTCGTGTTGCCCAGGGCTCATCTTGTATTGCCCCTGCTTGATCTGTTGTTGTTCCGACCCCATCTTGTGCTACTCCTGCCTCATTTTGTGATGTTGCCCAAGTCTCATTTTGTATTTCCCCTATATCATCTTGCCATGCTGCTCCTATTGATAATTCTGAAAAACTGCGATCTGGAATAAATAAAATATTAACGTTAGATTATCCACATATATGTCATTATATTAAATAATAATGCTGCCACTGGAGAAGACATAGACTACAGTTAGTAAACTTAATACTCAAATAATCCAGCATATAATCAATGGAAGAGTTAAGGCGATGTTTAGAATCTTTCATTTGTCATTGGAACCATTGGCGGATTCAAAGTTACATAAAGTAACTACGTGTTTATGGAATGAAGTGAAATTTAGCCATAAATACGAGTAAGCCGGGTAAGATCCACCCAAACTGGCTTACTCGTTACATCGTAACCTTTTTGTAAAGTAAGGATCCCTTTTTAAGCCTTAGGCGCATCGGGCATATGAGAAGAGCACCTATATTTTACAGGCAAACGGCACTAGGTGGGTAATGTTGTCAGCATTACGCCGGCCGTTTTTACTTCCCCAGGACATCCATCCTAATATCCATTTTAGGCTGGGTCAACCTGCGACGCCCCATACCATAATACAAATCCAAATAGCCCGCAGTTTACGAATGGGACTCGCAAAGCCTTAGCCACGGAAGCCGCGACCGTTTTATAGTGACCCAATATAACTGTGTTATGTAGTTTTACGGTTGATCGGGGTTTCTGGGTTCTGTACCTATTTTATTCTCTTCTTTCACCCGTCATTTATGGAAAAATGCGCGATGAACTGGCTTGAAATTAGGACGAGTTGCGCATGATTCAGCAGTGAGACAGCAGACGGTCGCCAACGCATCAAGGGCAGAGATACGTTTGAGTTACAAAAGCTAGGCAAACAAACGAGGTTTGAGGTTGGAACAACGGATCAACATCATGGCACAAGATAAAACAAGTAACAGACAAACAACGTACAGTGAGTTGTTCTTATTGCTCTCTCACTTACCTGTCTTCTCTTGTTGACCAAGTCCACAGAGTTCATGTTCTGAACCTTCTACTTCCTGTTCAAGTCTTGCTGGGCTAACGATGTCACCCTCGTCTCTCGCGAAAGCATCAGATTCTGGCGTTGTTATCATGGAAACATTTGACGCGACATCGGGGCTAAAACTTCTTCCTCCCAAACCGGAAGTGTCATCCATGCTGGAACCGCTTTCTGCCAGTGTAATCAACAATTCCGAAGGCACTAGTAAAAGAAATGATCAAAAGTAATATCAGAGTGCTTTAAGGGCGTCAGAAAAAGTCAGGGAAGGGCCCACCAGCGTGGTGAGACCAGATCACCCAAAGAGTACCGACGTGTATACACAAACATGAATTTTTCCACCACATGCATACAATTGCTCAAAAGATCGTCCCCATGTGGGACGCAATTTTTCGTTATTTTGAAGCCCCACCCTGGCTTTTGCCGGGGGCTGCAAAATAGGTTTCTGTGACCTCTCCATGGGTGATCCTGGTCCGAATGGTGGCACTTTGTGTCACCGGGTGTTTATCGCTCTGTGTTTTGTCCTAGTGGGGTAAAATGTACCTACCTACCGCATGCATCATCAGCGACCGGGTTGCACATTGGCTGGCCGGTAGACGACTCCGTCGGCAATGGGGACAGTATTTGGGTCAATTTGACGTCCTCTTGTGGTATGCAATTTTTCGCTTTTTTTGAAGCTCCACCCAGGCTGCTGCCGGGAGCTTTAAAAAACCTAACGGTTGAACGGGGTTTCTGGGACCTCTCCATGGGTGATCCTCATCCCAATGGTGTCATTTTGTGTCACCGGGTGTTTATCGATTTGCGTGATATCCTTGTGGGGTAAAACTTATTTATTAGTATTTGAATCTGTCTCCTTTGATCGCAACAGTACAAGAGTTCTTTTCATGGCTACTTGGTAGCGAGCAAGGCTAAGCCATTTTATATGGCGCACAAAACTTGGTCACAATTATAACCCAAAGCTTCCCCTTTGGGGATGCTGGTTGTACGTGACAATTGTCTGTTCGCAAAGCAAGCCAAGCACCACGTGCATTTGCCCCGCCGGTGTGAGATGTGCCACTTTTTAATCAGAAGATTGTTTACTCAAATAGGATATAGAGTTGTTGAACAACCACACCCCCCCCCCCCCTTTCCCTGTGGGTTCTGGGGCCCCATAGTGTTTAAAATAAGAACAGACCCACTGCCTCCCTAACAAGCATGTCGAAAGAGTCGACTAATTGGGTCGGAGTGCATCTGTCTGAGAGGCGAGGAGCCAACAGTCTGCATACAAATAAGTCAGATCTGTAAAAGGGATGCGCACGCGACACTCAGGTTTTTTTGGGAGAAGGATAAAGTCCACAAATGAACGAACAACAAGAATTTTCCACTGGAGTTTTACAGCCGGTGAAGAGTTGAACCACCACAGGTGACGGTGCTTCAAGACTGTAGCTCATTTTAGTTAATAATAAAGAACACCTCTCTACGGACATTCTAGAACATCCTAGGAGATACACGCAGCATACTTTCATTTTGAATTGATTGTAATAGTAGTTAACTGTCAGATAGTGTTATGTATATCACATATTGTAATGTATGCTCCTTCCTCTTCCTCCTACTTTGTGTTCACCGGCTGTTAATTCCAGCGGTAAGTTCAGGTTGCTCGTCCACTTCTGAATTTGTCCCAGAACTTGAGTTTTGCGTTCGTTTTACAGATCTGGATTATTTGTATGCAGACTGCTGGTTCCTCGCCTCTCAGAGAAATGCCTTCCGACTTCGAGGAAAACAATCCTAATTAGTTGACTTTTGACAGTGGGTCTATTCTTATTCTCTCCCTACTATACGACCCGAAAATGTTTGCTTCCATATCGCAGCATATATATATATATATATATATATATATATATATATATATATATATATACATTGTAATGTTCGCTTCTAACTTGATACTTTGGCAAAGAGAAACATCGGTGCAAGTCAACAGTGTTTTTTGTTTTTGTGTTTTTAATATCCAGAAGCCATGAGTTGTTAACCCTTAGGCTCGGTATTATGGATATCGCAACCTTTCGTTCTTGATTCCATTTTAAATACCGTAAATCTGGGAGAAATGTGGCTTTCCTGCCTATCCCGGGGATTGAACCCGGACCACAAGGAGTTCGTCACCCGGTCTCCGCGCAATCCGGTTTAGCCAACTACGCTAGAGAGCCAGGAAAGTCAACAGTGAAGTTCATACTAGACATTGCAGATATAGATAATCTATTGCAAGCGAACGAAAGAAGAACTTGATACGGTAGACAATATTCACTAACTTAAGAACGTTAAAATTGACTACTTATAACCGAGATTCTCAAATATGAGATACCAATTTTAGAATGGTACAGCATATAAATAGTTCTTGTAACCAAAGCAATTAACCAAATATTGCTGTAAGACCCAAATATATATCGTGTAATAACCAATTTGTCTAAAAATAAAAATATACATTATCTGACAAATTAAACGTTTTATATCTCACATATAACCAAGAAGTGTTGAATATGAATGATACTACTGATAATACAAATATTACTACTGCACCTGTACTACGATAATATAAATACGACTACTAACACTGCTGCTGCTGCTGCTACTACTACTACAACTACCACCACCAACATTACTACTACCACGACAACAAAACGACTACTACTGCTACTACTACTACACGTACTGCTACTACTACTGGTAATCTAGTAATCTGGTAATTTTAATTTCAGCTTCATAGCAAACGGGTCACCCCATCTTTGCTCCTACTTCTGTAATATGCAAGTGAGAAATGCTTGCAGAAAATGATTCACTACTTACCCACGTTATGCATTGAGTGTGTAGTTGTCTATTAAAACCCAAGTGTTTCCAGTGAGGCTAGTGTTTAGTCCTCATGATACCATAACGCGGTTCTGCACACTGGAGACATTGCGATAGGTGCCGTGCTAATAGCTATCCATTCCCTTGGTTGACAGTGCCAGAACAAGGCACTCCTAAATAGCAGGAATTAGTTGTATCCGGCAAACAAAGATACGGTCTCCATGACAATTACTGGTTTCCTTAATATGGAGCGTGCCTTCAATTATATTTATAATTTGTATGTTTGTGGACAACGTTTTAACTCTCTTTTCCTTTCTCTATAATTTACTCTGTTTTTCGCTCTCCCCTAATCAACTTTATGAATAATTGGTGCTTCCCTCCCCGCCTCCCTACATCTTTGTCTTTGACTTTCCCTTCTTTCTGTGTTTCTCCCACTTCTCTCACCTGCCCCCCCCCTCTCTCTCTCTCTCTCTCTCTCTCTGTCTGTCTTGATCACTCACTCACTCTTCGAATCAAACACTTTCCCTCTCTTTTCTCTCCACTACCTCCACCCTCTATATCTCTTTCCATCTAGCTTTCATATACACTATTTTTTTCGGTGTGTGTGTGTGTGTGTGTGTGCGTTTTTCACACATACACGCACGCACACACACGCTTTCTCTCTCGTTTACGATTGTTCTTAATTATTACCCCCCCCCCCCCCAACTCCAACAGTAGTCAGCTGTTGGAACCATTTCTCACGAAAAGACTCGAACCCTGCCCTCTGTGAATTATGGAACATTAATTCTAGCTATTAGAAGCTCAAACAGTATAGCACAAGTGTCGGCTTCATAATTCCATGATGCCAGATTTCACCCCAGCTGCGAGCGATTTAGAAGTAGACAGCCTTGCGTTAGTTCCAACAGTGTTATCGAGAGTCGACCATTTAGTAAGCAGCGTCCAAACTACTGAACATGAAAATTGCCTGTTGAAATCACCGTCAATTAACGCTAGGGTTGGTTTTACAACGCCCTGTAAAGGACACGCAACAAACGTTAACTTTTATGGCACGTCAAGCTAAGGTTAGTCAAGTCAAGTAAATACTACTCAAGTAAAGTAAAGGCTAGACAAGTCAAGTAAAGGCTACTCAAGTAAAGTAAAGGCTAGTCAAGTCAAGTAAAGGTTAGTCAGGTCAGGTAAAGGTTAGTCAAGTCAAGGGTAGTCATGTCGAGTTGAGGTTAGTCAATTCAAGTAAAGGCTAGTCAAGTCAAGTAAAGGTTAGTCAAGTCAAATAAAGGCTAGTCAAGTCAAATAAAGGCTAGTCAAGTCAAGTAAAGGCTAGTCAAGTCAAATAAAGGTTAGTCAAGTCAAGTAAAGGTTAGTCAAGTCAAGTAAAGGTTAGTCAAGTCAAGTAAAGGCTATTCAAGTCAAGTAAAGGCTATTCAAGTCAAGTAAAGCTAGTCAAGTCAAGTAAAGGTTAGTCAAGTCAAATAAAGGTTAGTCAAGTCAAGTAAAGGTTAGTCAAGTCAAGTAAAGGCTAGTCAAGTCAAGTACAGCTAGTCAAGTCAAGTAAAGGTTAGTCAAGTAAAGTAAAGCTAGTCAAGTCAAGTAAAGGCTAGTCAAGTCAAGTAAAGCTAGTCAAGTCAAGTAAAGCTAGTCAAGTCAAGTAAAGGTTAATCAAGTCAAGTAAAGGTTAGTCAAGTCAAGTAAAGGCTAGTCAAGTCAAGTAAAGGCTAGTCAAGTAAAGGCTAGTCAAGTCAATTAAAGGTTAGTCAAGTCGAGTAAAGGTTAATCAAGTCAAGTAAAGGTTAATCAAGTCAAGTAAAGGTTAGTCAAGTCAAGTAAAGCTAATCAAGTCAAGTAAAGGTTAGTCAAGTCAAGCAAAGGTTAATCAAGTCAAGTAAAGGTTAGTCAAGTCAAGTAAAGCTAATCAAGTCAAGTAAAGGTTAGTCAAGTCAAGTAAAGGTTAGTCAAGTAAAGGTTAGTCAAGTCAAGTAAAGGTTAGTCAAGTCAAGTAAAGGTTAATCAAGTCAAGTAAAGGTTAATCAAGTCAAGTAAAGGCTAGTCAAGTAAAGGCTAGTCAAGTAAAGGCTAGTCAAGTCAAGTAAAGGTTAGTCAAGTCAAGTAAGCGTTAGTCAAGTAATGGACCTTTTACACACCAGTTGCGCATTGGGCATTTGAGTTAAGCATATGAGTTAAACGTTAGTAGCGTATCTTTTACAACCAACCCCAGCATTTGGTGGCTTTTGTGGTTTTTCTAGGCACATTTTACGTTCAGTAGTTCGCCATTTCTCTCCGTCTGAACGTATTAGCTCTCGGTACACTGTCGAAATCAACGCCAGACGTTCTGCTGCCAAATCATCTGCAACTAGGACCGAACTTAGCACCCCGGCATTTCGAAGAGAGTTCTCAATGCCTAAGCCACAGACGTCGACAAAAGTCGAGTAACATGAAGTTTATTCGAGCTCAAAACCACGTCACACAATCGTATTCTCATGCCCATGTCCGCTGGTTGTCTTGAAAACGAAAACCCGCTATCAGGCAAGTCTTATCTGTCGCTAATGGGATGTGAGAATAATTTGCCCAATCCTGTAATCTTATAGCGGAGCGTGACAGGGTCTAGATGCAAATATCGCCGGCATAAAGGGCACGGATATTTAGCTGATAATTGTTGGCGATGTGCAGTGTACAGAAATACGTGGGCATACAGTGGATTGGTCCTGTATAAGCTAATAGTGACGTATTTATGACGGATACAAATATCAACGGAACAACACTCATGCCTAATTGCACGAACATGCAAAAAGGGCGGGTGCCACACACACACACACACACACACACACGCGCGCGCGAAGGAGACAGACAGATGGAGGGAGATGATTGGCATCTATACTATAGCACTGAAAATCCATGTGTCTATACATCTGAGCCCTGACACTTAGGAGGCTGCTGCTCACGATTGGACTACATGGCGAATGTCTATCCAAAGAGGCGTACCCACTAGCGAGACATCTATTTAAAAAAAGGGTGGGGGTGGGGTGGGGGAGGGGCAGGGGGCAGTTGAACTGCGAATACAGGTTAGAAAGATCCGTATAACAGGCCCGTTAAATACAGACACTGTTTCCGGCCCTCATTGTTCTGGATCCTTCCGGCTCCGTAAGTTAAAGAAGTAAAAATAAAGGACCCTCTTCCATGTCTTTAAGCGTATAGGGCATATAGACCAATCGGCACAAGATGGGTGATGTGGTCAGTATCACGCCGGCCACCTTTACTTCCCGCGACTGAACCCGGTACCCACTCAAGGCTGGGTCGACCTGGGAAAGGAAAGATCTATTTTCAAGCCTTAGGCGCATCGGGCATATGGGAAGAACGTCCCATATTTTTACAGACCAATCGGCACTGGGTGGGTAATGTGGTCAGCATTACGCCGGCCGTCTTTACTTCCCCAGGACAGCCATCCTGGTACCCATTTTAGGCTGGGCCGACCTGCTACGCCCCATGATAAAAATCCAAGCAGTCAGCCGTGGGTTTTGATGGCGGTACGTTGGAATTACGAGTCGGACTCGCAACGCCTTAGCCACGGACGCCGCGTTCCAGCTCCGTATTGGGTTTATACGTCACCCCCGGACTCACAGCCAGTCAACTATAGTTTCATGACGGATGGAAGACAGCGTGGTCCTCATCACTGGTGATGAATGAACAACATTTCAGTCAACAAATAACTCCTCCAAAACGGTGACCAGTGGTGGAAAAACAGACCTGATTCAACACGGATAAATTTGTTCATCATCGCCTCAACATATTTCATATCCACGTACTGACGTTATTAATAATTACAGTTTGAAATTGCGCAGTGACAAATTAAAAACATTGCGACTGATATTTTTATATCCAAATCCAAATCTTTTTCATTGCATTTAGATACTGTTTTTGACGTTTAGATCGTAAAAATTTTTCTAGATTCTTTTCATATGGAGTTAGATATTTTATAGATTTTTTTTCTTTCAATGTCAATTTAATAATTACTGTTTAAAATATTTACTACAATTTTTTATTTTGGTCTGGCACGTACATTGTGACAACTACCATTACTTGAACTTTGAATTCTCACTGGGGTTAACGTACAAATATCTGGAAGCCCCGGTACTGATTAATAAAAAAAAACGCGCGTAAATCATACAAACTTTGTTTCAACCGTATCCTCACTGTGCTGACTTTGCGTTTCTTTTTCATGTGATTAAAAAAAATAATTGCTCACCTACTTATGTGGCTTTCACTCTGAAAAAACCTTTCAACATGCCAAAGGTAAAGTATGAGCAAAAAAATTGGAAAGAGTGGTTGCATGATGACAAAATTAAAAATTGGGGATATGACCAAAGCTTGTTTTAAGTACTGCAAGTGTGAAATTAAAGCGAAAATACAAAACTCAAAGAGTCATGCAGAGACTAAAAAAGCATAAAACTGCAGTTTCATTTAAAGATATTACACCGCTGACATCTGTTTTCAGAACTATACTGATAAATGAATCATCAAAAGTTGAAGTATCAGTCGCAATGTTTTTTAAATTTGTCACTGTGCAATTTCAAACTGTGACCATTTGATCAATTTGTAAAAAATCTTGGACTAGTTCAATTTGAAAAGTGTGATGTAGAAAGTATAGTTTAGGAACTGAAGGACCTTTTAATCAGTAAACAGTTAGGCTTGAAGAATTTGGCTGTAATTGGTACTGATAATGCCTCAGTGATGGTTGGTATAAACAATGACGTTTATGCCAAGTTGAAGGAAGCTAACCCATCGTTAATACTTATAAAATGTATGCGTCATTCATTGCAGCTAGCATTATCACGTGCTTCATCTAAATATTTACCAAGGAATTTGGAATACCTTATTGCTGAAACACTTTACTGGTTTTCCAAATCATTTGTCAGACAACAGCAATACAATACATTATATACAGCCTTGAATGATGGTTCACCACCGAAAATTCTGTCAGATTGCAAAACTAGAGGATTATCAATTTAATCAGCTGTTGAA